CTGCCGTTTCTCACCGTAAATGGCCGTAACTTGACGTTTTGGTATGCACCGTATTACGACCTTAATTAATCGTGTCGTAAACGGTTACTAACGACCGTAATGTGGTCGGATATTTCCGTATCCGATCGTTTATGGCACGATACAAAGCGACCGTAATACGGTGCATACAGAACGACGTAAATTATGGTCAAACGGCCGGGTACGACACAAGTTGGTCGACCTGGGATATTAACGAAATATCTTGGCAATAGATGGCCAGTTTTTACTAAAAAACCTCATCTTCAATGCAATCATAAGTAGGAACATATAAGCATTCTAGTCTCTCACCATTGTTACACCAATATTGAAGCATGTCAGACGCTTACTAGCAGTGACTCTTTGATTTTTAATGTAGAATACCGTTCTCTTTTATAGTCAATTTCGGATATTTGTTTTCTTTCCTCCCAGGACAAACAAAAGAAATCGCTGAACGACGTTCAGAGTGCCTAGATAAAATTATGGGATTAGTTGTAAATGGCGGTATTGATACAGAAACTGTACTCAAAACTGTGGAAGAATATAAAGTTCCGCCGCCATCTAAACAGTAAGTTGTCATTTTTTTGTGTTTTGATAAAAACAACAACAACAATAAAGATGAATACTGTTTAACGCTATATCATAAGTGAACTTATCATATTCTCTAGCTTTAAACAAGAGCTAAGAATAGTGCTGATCCCATGATAGAATTAGAGACGAATGGATACATTGGATCTGCATGTCTTTTTTTTCTTACAACAAAGCGAGAACTTCATCTGAAGTGTTTGATTCTGGTTTTAATACTTTGCGCTGTCAAGAAGTAAGTATGCAACGCATCGTTTTATAAAGATATAGAATTTGAAGAGAAACTAATTGGAAATAAAATAGGTAATTGATTTACGAATTTCATGTTAATCATCTATTTTTTTATGTGGATATAAACAAATAAAATAGAGACGATATAAAATATTATTTCAATGATTCTTGTCAGTTTTTAAAAAGATTGAGTTGGATAAAGTTTACTAATTTGAAGGGCGTGGATGTGTTGTTGGATCATATACTCTTTCTATCATCCATGTCCACACCTTCAATAAAGACTAAAAATATCGATTCATAAAATGAAAACATATCAACAAGAATTTATTTATCTACTTCATTTTTTACGAGAATTGGTCTCTGTTGTAACAATCATATCTAGATTTTCTAAAGTAATTAGAATAAATTGTCACTAAATATTAGCTGCATATACTGATACAAAATAGGTTAAGTAAAATATTTCTAGTGAACATTATTGTTGTTTGCAAAAAACAATCAATTTTTTCATGAAAACCATCAGTCTCATTTATTTCGTGCATTTGTGCGCTAATTTCTGTTTGGCTTATTAATCTGTATTTCATATTCTATGTTTTATTATGATTTCAACCATTGGCTTAAATAGTAAATAAGTCGGTTAAAGTATTACCAATCATACTTCACTCATTTAAGTATCAAGGAAGACTTTAAAATGTTTTAAAATAGTCTAAATCTGGTTGATGATGCCATTTAATGTCTTTTCTCTTGCCATTTTTCTTTTATTGACTAGGAAAATCATGCTCATTGGCTTCTGGCCGACCTTTAAACTATGTCGTTGGAGTCCTTTCTTTAAAGATTTCATCTATTCCACGGCTGTTAGCTTTGCCATAAAATCTATGTCTTGAATTCAGACGAAAGTAACATTTGCATGGATCATTTATGTCAATGGTTCACTTGTCCAATGATTATGTTGCATTTCACGTATTATGATATTCGATTATTTGCAGGCTAAATAATTGAATGGACTCTGTCTGTTAGAAATTCATTTGGAGTGCCATCACGAAACTCATCTTTCATTATAAGTATTCTATGAATTATTTATGTTTAATGTGTTATTTGATTAAAAAAAGTGTGTGTTTAGTTGTTGACTAAAGCGAATAAATTATGTGAATGACACTTCCGTAAAATTTTACATAAACTTTATCATCGTCAAACATAAGATGCATTGCAAGCGCTTATTTTTCATTGAAAAGAATACTTGCAGAACACGTTTGTAGGAAAAATTCGTCTCTTGTATAATATTTGTCATATGATCGATTTTCATTATCGCCACTCTAGTTCCAAATGTCTAGACTCAAGTGAATATACTTTTTGAATATGATGAATCAAATTTATGAATCATTTAAATATCATCCAACTTTATGTTTTATCGTCAAAACTCACTGATATTCCACAATAAACAATATATTTGAATGTGAGGTTGATTCGAAAGATTGATTTGTTGTGTCATATTTTAGTTGGCTTGAATTTCATGACTATTTTCAACAAAAATGAGAAATGCGTACGGAATATTTGTTGTTTGTGCACCATTCAAATACGTAACTAGCAATCTTTACTGAGTTGGAATCTCACATCGTCATGATTTCGTGTCTCTCTTAATTTCAAAACCAACTATGGTATTAAGCTTTCAAAAACCATTCAATCAAATTCTAGATAGCGAATATAAAATTAAGGATTTACAAAATAGCACATATAAGAACGGACGTATAACTTTAACCATTCAATACTTTTGTACTCTTAGGTCGTATTGACTATTTAGTAGATGCTAAATTGCTGCTTAAGAAGATATTCGTATCGGTCCTTTTACGTATGTACATGAATACAACACATCGAGTATAAACTGATAAAACTATATGAATCGAAGTTTTGTAAAGATTACTCGTGTACGATATAATCGAGACTTGCATTATCAGCGATCATCGTTGATGAATTTCACTAGCAATAATCGAATGCAAGGCTCTTATAAATAATGTTTTTATTTCGTAATCACCGAGTACTTGATAGACATTCAGTCTCTAATGTGAGACGGACAGAATATGTGAATCGAAATTTAGTCAGATCTATTTTTTTTTCGTCAACGATCATTGTAGACTTATCTAATCTTTATCCTCTGATGTGAATCTAATTTTTTTTTTAAGAAGGATGAACGTCGGATGAACTTTCAGTCTCATATTCAGAGTGATCAACATATCTGTGAGTAGAAAAAACGACAGTTCTTCGTGAGCAAAGATCAACGCGTGTGAATAGAAGTTTCGTAAGAACTGTTCATTTTTCTTATGATTGATGAACACTTTATGAATGTTTTGGGTCTGGCATGAATAGAGTTATGTATAAAATTGTACCTTATTGAGAACTGTTCGCTTGCTTCATGATTGATGTACATCTACTGAACTGTGGTTTCGTTGTAGTAAACGCTCCATTTTATGGAAGGAATAGTTTGTTAAGTATGATCAATCTTGGTGCGATCTCAAGTCTTATTCGAATCTGCATATCAATATATAAGAAAAAGAGCAATTACATAATAGAATATTCAATAATTCATATATGTAGACTTCTATAATGAATAATATAGCAGCTGGTTCACACGAACTTGCCCACACGAGTTACTTTCAAATAATTTCTTTTTATTATTTCTTTTGTAGGAAATAACAATCTGGTATTGACATGCAGATCAATGCAAAGAAGCAGCAATTTTATGAAAGAACTTGATTCTCATGAAAACCGTTCATATTCTACCACTTTATTGTTCAATATTAATCTATATGATCTTCATGCAATTTTTTCTCTCTTATGTTAAATAAATACTATAGTCAATCTTAATCTCGTTTTTCAAATGTAAACGAGTATATCGTCAGAATAAGGAATCGATAATGTCACCTAAATACTGAGCACGTAGTTTTGGTTTGTTTTAGGTAGTCATTTGTTTCAAAACTGATCATCAAATATTCGTCAGAAATCAATGAACTTAAATTCGTCTATATTCTTTGTTTCGAGACAGCTGTGATGATTTCACACGATTATTCAGCAAATAATAAAGAAGTGCTCTTGAATTCAATGAAATAATCCAGTACTATATAATTATCTTCTTATGTTTCAATTGATGGTTTAAGTGGACCATAAATTTTAATTGGATGGCATTGAACTGTAAAATGATATTCATTTCATATACAGACAGTGCCTTAATCATTACGCAACGTACACTGAACGACATTCAAATATTGCTATACTCAATCGATGGTTAATTATTGATCGTGATCGACAGAGTTGGGGAGGGGGGGGGGAAGACGTGAATCACGCCCATTGACTCGAAGAAATATTTTTTACTGGTTCAAAAATACAACAAATATTTAGAGTTCACTCAACGGAATGCACATTTTTTTTTTATTTTTCATTTAAAAATTAGTTATAATATAAAAAAAAAGGAATATATTCTCATGTTAAATTTAAAATCATATATAATATTAACAAAGCGGTTTAAAAAAATGATTATAAGCGAAAAACGCATAATTTGTCTTGTATGTAGATGCAAAAGAAAGAGAACAGAAGAGTAGAATGTCTTAGAATAAAATTCTCAAGTAACCAAATTCCACTTTTAAAATGATAAGAAATAGATTTTTGTTGAATTTAATATGAGAACACAAGTATTTATATTCGAACGACAAAGTCTCCGGTAACAGGAATCGTGCGCATCGATTTCGTTGATGGTAGTGAACTTTGAGTTTTAGAGTTGATTTTTGAATTGGAATTAGTTTTCGTTATTGCTTTGACTGGTACTGTCTTTTGTATTGGATTAACAAATGAATTCTTATTAATAGAAGGATAATGAAGTGATAATAACGATGATGATGATGATGATGATGATAATGACGATGTATATTTCTGTGTTGGTACAAGTGAATTCGACCGATTTTTTATTACACTAATATTTTCATAATCACGACGTTTTGTTTTTAGTGATGAAGTAGGCATTGTTAAATGAATATTTTCTATTGACGATTGATATCGTTTATGATTATTTGATATTGTTCGTGTTAATGTCCATGTTTGTTCTTGTTCGTACGAACTCAAATATGGATAATTCTTTTTGTTAACATTTACAATTGAATAATACGTACATCTTTGCCGAGCTTGTATTTTATCACTATCATGTACTGATTCTTTTGTAAACCATTCAACTTGTTCGCGTGGCATCTCGATTGCAAGATGGCGGCGTTAATCAAACTGAATCCTCTTAAATAATATGTAAGTATACACACACCTACAAGAATTGTTCATACAATGAAGACCGATAGAAATAGAAATAGGAGCCTCTCTCGCCTTCTTCCCTCACCCTCTCTCTCTCTCTCTCTCTGTCGATTACGACCTTAGAGGGAGAGATTTTTCGTTTTCTTTTTTATTTCAATCCTTTTCCTTAATATAAAAGTATACATTATAATGTACCAAAAATCATCATATGACTGAAAAAAAAAGGGTATTCTGAAGTAAGTAGTACAATTACCTACATCCTTATACATTACAGAAGAAGAGAAAAAGAAAAAAAACGATGAACAAGTACACTGGCTGGACACGTATTAGCGAAGGACGCCCTACAGCGAGACACAAGTTCATATACTTTTTCTTTTTTCCTACTTAAAAAAACATTCAACCATATGTATATATTTTATGACTAAACAGTATAAAGTCAAGAAGGACATTTCATTTTTCTTTTCATAAAGATAGACAGATTTCATTCCGTATGACATGTATACATTTATTTGTTCTCGATAATAATGAAACACAGAAATGTACAAAAAAAATCACTAGAACAAGGTCGACTGCGATTGATTGGTCAAACATAATAAGAGTATATATTAGAGACAAGAGGTAGGGATTAGGGATAATATAAATAATGAAATCAAGATTTTGCTAGTAAGAAAAAAAAAATAGAAGCAAAGACATTCTCAGAATTAATTTTAAGCAGTTGTAATTGAATCTTTTTCCATTTTAATCATATTGCTATTTTTTTCTGTACATTTTCGTTCGAGTTCAAGCAATTCTCTATTAAAAATATAAATTAATTTTTTTTATAATAAAAATACAAATTTACTGTCTTAGTTTATTGACATAAGAACGAAGTTGTAATTCTTTTTCTTTAATAATTAAATACTCATCCCAAGCTTCCTGTTGAGGAATTTGATTTTCGTAAAAACGAAGATACAAACTGCGCCAGAGAATCTACAAGAAAATTTCATGTTAATTTTTGAAAGATAAATATATTAAAATCACTTACAATACTTTGTGCAGCTACACTTGGCCATAAAACATTTAAATTCGGTTCATAGAATGGATTTAAAAACGTGCGCAGTATTTCAGGTCGATTAAAATAAGACCAAAGGGAAACGGTTTTTTTTACAGCATTATATTTAGTTTTCTCTTTTTCATTATTAAATATAAACGTTCCTGGGCAATGAAATGAAATTAAAATTTTTCTTTTTTCTATATTTAAAATTTTATTTACCAAATTTCGACGAATAAGTATGTTCGAATAATTGTATGAGTAAAGTGTCATTGAATTCAAATGAACAAGCAAACTGTTGTAAAAGCTGTAAAGATATTTTTATTTATAATAAAACCAAGTAAATTCAAATGCAAAAAGGTTCCTCTTACCTGCCAAGTGCAATCAAGAAAAAGTGTAAATAGAGGTGATTCTTGTCCACGACTACTTTTACCGAATGCTGATCGTGCACAACGTGAACGAAATTGATGTCCAGCTTGAATCCATTCACGCTCAATTAATGCTTCAAAACTAAAACAAAACAATTTCCTATTTTTATTCACAGCAATAAAAAAAAGTTCATAATTTATACCCGGTTATTGTACGACAATCAGGATGGAGTAGTACTTGAGCTAAACTTGTTACTAACAATGTTGTATCCCATCCATCACTGCCATGAACAAGAACCGATGTTTCTAATAAATAATTATCCATGATTACTATTGAAAATTTCTATTAATTTTACCTTCACGATCGATTGTTTGTGCAACAATACAGGCTACTGTCAATGCTTCCTTGACATGAAGTAACCAATTGCTATTTTCTAATTTTGATAACCATCGATCTTTTTCCGATTGATCAATACACGCTAAAGATTAAAATGAAACTATAAAAATAATTGTTTAATTTTAATTCTATTCCTTATACCATCAATAAATTTCATGAACGATTCTTGTAAAACAGTATGTTTATCTAAATGTCGATGAAGACGTTTCCAAAGTGCATAGTGTTGTTCGGGCTCACATCCACCGCCTTCAAAATCAATGAGTAAGAATCAATAGAAAAGAAATAGTAGTTTACCTTTGCTTTGTGCAAGTTTTACTACATTCGGATGTCGTGTATCAAGGATCCATCCTTTTTTATGACGTTGAATAAGCATAGAATTAACAAGGGCTTCATCTTCTTTACAACGACGTACACTTGCACCAATAAGTGGTTGTGCACATCGAATGATACACGATTTAGATGACTTATGTAAATAACATAAAACTGGAAAACGGCCATGACTACGAAACTCTGCTGATCGTTTAAGTTGATCATCACTAACTGATTTTGGTACAACTAATCGTTCGGAATATGTTTCGCAAACCTAAAGAAAAGTTTCGTTTAATGCGAGTGAAAAATCAAAATATAAAAGTACCGCAAAATTTTTGTTCACATCACTAATTCGCCATTCATCGCTTATTGCTTGTAAACGACTAAATTCGGATTCGACAGAAAATGCTGTCCAACCATCTTGTATAACTTCGAAATCACGCGGAAAATAGAATGGAAATAAAAATGTTACATCAAATGTTGGGCCATCTGAAAATAACAACAAAAACATACAATAGTGTGAATATAGAAAAAACTACAGATCAAAAAAAACTATAATACCTTACAGAGAGTTCAAAATTTTCGCTCACTCTCTCTCTATATATCTTTCATAAAAGTTTCTTATTCTACAATACTTATGCGAATTTCAATCAAAACGATATATCCTTGATTTCAATTTCATATTGTTCTATCAAGTTCGGTGATTCACTATTTATTCATGTGATGAAATTAGTTTTAATCAAAGTTCTACTATTAGGATACCAACTATTTCGATAGACGTTTCTGTAGTCATCTATTACGAATCATGATTCATTACTGCTTTTACTTAAGGTAAACATCAAAATATTCGTTAAGATAGCCGAATTAAATGATGTCAAAATTTATAAATGGTTTGTACCTGTATGCGCAATAAGTGCATCTAATGATTCAGCTAGTTTTATTGCTTCGTCCAAAACCGAAATGTCAAAATGGCATGTTTCTAATGTTTTCAGGCGTAGTGTTATCGTATACTTGGAAGATAATGAAGGTGACGTGGGCAATTGAGAACGAAATTCATTTTTCATCGGAAATTTCGTTTGGATCCCATCCATATTAGTATAAAATATCTATAGAATAATGTACGGTTAACGAGTTATTTTATTCGCAAAAAGCAAAACACTCATACCCATAGTTCTTTAAGCTCTCCATCAGGTTGTTTAAGTGATACTATAACATTGTGCAAAGTAATATTGAGTATTGATTCCGGATACGATTGTAGATGGTCACGAAAAACAAAATTTCTGACACACGGAATTTTAATAAGATCTGTAACCATCTAAAAAGAATGTACTGGCATTAACAAAAAAAAACAGAAGCAAAACAAAATAGTATATGCTATTTTCTTTTTTTTTTTTCTTCAATTTCAATTTCCTATCGGCCTTATTGTATTTGTTCCTGCAAATTTATACAATAAAATATACAATAAACCTGGTAGAAAAACAATAGGTAACAATATCAAATCGTATTTGTTTTCAATTTCTGTTAAACTTATTAGGCCACAGAGAAGAAGAGCGACATGTATGAAATAAATAATCCAATTTTGCATGTTTCCACAAAGTTTCCGTAGAAATGGAATCCAGTCATGCTCTCCATTGGCTACCAACGTAAAATGAATAGCATTAAGGAATATAGAACTGGTAATGGTCAAAATTGGAAAAGTAAAATCTAGAAAATTCAAAAATCTATCAAAACAAAACCAAATTCTATTTCTCTTACAAATAAGACCACCGAATAAAGCATGTAAGATCAGCAAACATGGATAAAAATGAAGAGCGCTATAAATTGATGCCGAAATAAATTTTTGTCGAATTATTGAAACAAAAATTGGTCTTAAGAACAGCATAATTAAACTTGCATATGTATACAAAACAAAAATAACACTTTGTCTAAATGCAGAACAAAAAACACCGATGAACAATAAGAGAGAAACAAGACTTTTCCTATCTACATACAATGGATAAACAACTTCATATGAGCATCGTAGTTTTTTTCGATAATTTACAATTGGATTATGAAATATTGGATAAAAATCACTGAATAATTTCACTTGGCATGTGTTAAATGTTAGTTTACCAATTGGTGGAAATGATAACAAAGTAAAAATAAATGCAAGAATAATTTCAAATATCGATAAAAAATAAAGAATTGTCTGCCTAAATAAACCAAAACATATATTTTCGTTCGTTTTTATTTTGTCATTTATACAAAATACATTTCTCTCCTCAGGAGACAATCATATTCTCATTATCGACATTTGTATCTTCCGTACGTTATTCTCGCTGTTAATAGACACTAACATTAAATATCGTAGAAAGTTACCATGTAATCGAATTCATGCTGATATGTCAGTGATATAATAACGACAACAGCGTATTTATACATATGATTAGCTATTATCTGTAACATTGATTACATAATGTAAAAGTCATCAACTGTACGTACTACTTAGAACACACGCAAATTCGTCTGTTAGAATACCATGAAACACTTTGTGTTGTTGCTAGGAGGTGAATCTTATCTGATGACCTTCGATTTTGTTTATTTAAAATATTAAAATGAGATACTTCTGTAATTCATATTGATTATTTTCATCAAAAATTTATGTAAATTTGGCAAACAAAATAATTTATCAATAATAAAAGATTTTCTCTAGAGAAATATTATCACCTAATTAGAATAGATCAAAAGAAGATGGCTAATATAGAATTAATCTTTTTTTAATGACTATCTTATCTCTTTCAATAGATTGGAAAACGCTGACTACTATCTATTTTTCCTTGGTCGTTAAGTTTGAAGTTTATTCGTTCAATTGAACTCACAAATGTATACCATTTAATGTCACTTATTTAGTTAGATTGTAGCAGATGGAAATAACGTTTATTTTCCACTAATACACATATCTAATTGTACATATAAAATAATGTCATGGATAACTGTTAAGTACGAGAACAAATAGACGAGGCAGAATATTGACCCATAACTAAAAAGTCATACAACCGTGACCTATATCCCTTCCAATTGTTCCAGGCACAGAGTTTATTCTGGTAAAAAACAGTTTTACTGAACATATTTTCAACAGAACTTTTTCTTTTCTTAACAACTGATGAGTTCTCTTAAACGTAAAATTGGTTGGACAAGGACATGCATCAACTTTTGAAAGTCAACGATCATATTCACAATTCTTGATTTTTCTTTTCTATGATAACAAATATTGATTCAATAGGAGAAAAGAAGATTTGTTTAAAAAAAGCTAATATTTCTATTCTATCCTACGAATACAACATACTTGACAAAAGTAAATTCTCGTTGTTTCTTCTTTCGTAAACGATTAACAAAATACCAATGAAAAGTTAACGCCAATAATGCCATAAACACAATGTACATAAAATTGTACAATGATAATGGTTCATTACACAATTGGCATATTTTTTCATTATTTACACGATATCCACGTTGACAAGCCTGAATAATATAATTTAATATTTACTTTTTTTTTATTACAAGAAGAAAAGAAAAGCAGATAGTATATCTCACCCCGCAATTTGTACTATTACTTTGATAACCACAATATATACCAGGACAAATTGATAGTTTTGATTTCTCCAATAAATTGCTACTCATGAGATAATCTGATAAACATCTAACAAGGACAATAAATCAACAAACTAATTGATATATTAATGATAGGATAACGTTTACGAAGAATTTCAAATATTTTCATTGGTTTTCTTGGTTAACCAATCGTAAGTAACATTTTTTTAATATGCGAAACAGCGAAAAGATAAAATTACAAATTGTTTTCAGGCTTTTCGTATACTAAATTTCTTTCAAAAATAATTATTTAATTATATTTCAAGATAATATAAATTAAAATTTATAGAGGTTAACCGAAAAAGAATACGGACTTTTTCTTTTTCTTTATAATATGCATCCTCTTGACAACGCTTTCTTTCTTCTCGTTCTTGTTGAGTATGATAGCGACCGACAGGATCGGGCGAATATGTTTGCTTTTCCTCGTTCTTTCTATTGAGTATTATTACAAGTATGTTATGTTGTTGCTGTAGCTGCTTTTTCGTCGACGAGAGAAGAACATTTTATGATTCATTCATCGATTCTTTCTCTCGCTCTCTTTCTCTCACGCTCTCTTTTACCCCTTTTCTTTCCTATTCTCTATTGTAACAATTCGTCGTCGACTGCAGTCAGCATCACCATCAACTACAAGATGATCAAATCATCGTGGCCTATACGAACAGCATCGTTTTTTCCTTCTTCTTTTTCTTTCTTTTTTTCCTCTACTCTTTCTATCCGACGACCGCTCGTGCGGTGAAACCTTCTCTATTCTCGTCTATATGTTCGTTTATGCGTGCATATATATATATATATATAGAAACACAAAAAAATGTACACAGGATATATGTGTGTATATATATATATATATGTTTTCTTATCCATAAATCATTTTCGAATGACCTCGGCGTTCATTTCAATATTTACGGGCATGATTGTGGGTACGACTGCTGAAAGATAATTGGGCTTAATTCCATATTATTTGCACGTGTTATGTTTGTTTTTTTGTTGACTTCCGAAATGAGGTCTCTAGGTAAATTATCGATATGGGTATGTGTATTTCGAATTTAATTTCAAGGCTAAGAGAATTTCTTTTGTTTATTTAGATTTGAATTTTCAACAGCTGATTTTTGTTGGTCCTTTTATTGGGTAGGCGATAATCGCCATTAGAGATTTTCTACATGTCCTCATACAGTTTCAGTGATAAAGCTTGTTTAAGACATCACATGATTCGTATGTGCATGATATGAAATTCTCGGCAATATTGATCTGATAATGAAGAAAATTTTTTTTTTCTTTTTTCATTCATTTTTATTTGAATAAAATAAAAAACTTAATCGTCTCGTAGCTATTTGTAAATGCGCGAATAGTTGCTTGAGGATTCAAAGGCAAGTTTCCAGAAGTTAAAAATAGCAATCAGTGGAATATCGTATTGAAATATTACAGTTCACAGACGGAGAAAATCAGTTTATGGAAATATGCAGAATTCGAAAAAAGAAATTTCATACAATATGAATAGAAATCGAATGGAATACTAAACAAAGAATCATTTCTATTTGCTGATTTGTCAGACGATACTTTGAGATTCAATATGAGTGTCGTTATTTGAAATGAAGTATTCATCGGACTTTTCATAGTTCCATCGATTTTTGACTGGATGCTGAATTTTCATTTAGTCGATTGTGAAAATACGAATACATTAGAATAGAGTTCACAATATTAATTTGTCTGTTAGAAAGTGATCGATTAAATTCGAATATGATTTTATGAATTGAGAGAAATTGGAATTCTTAATGTCTGATGTAGTCGATTTTTTTTTGACAATGGATAAGAGAGGAAAATATTCACGAAATGAATTTGTCTCGAAAGTGCAAACAATGTTCGAAGTTCGATCTTATCCTTTCATGGTTATACCAAGTATAAGAATCAGACGAGTAGGAGTAGATTAGGTTAATCTTGAATGGGAGTCGCTTTTGTGGATAACGATTGGAAAAGTTCAACATTGTTTGAAGTTTTCATCATTGCACTTGACTGGATGTGTTGTTAATGTCATAATATTACAACCGAGAACTAACACGAAATTCACACATCTCTATAAACGGAAAGAATACACGGAGCTATCTGTTTGAAGTCGATATTCGTATTATTTTTGACACATCTATTTTTGTGTCAAGAGTAATTTTGATTTGACATAATCGAACATGTGACACGACAAAATTTTTGTTTTAATTGTTTCTCTTTATATATATATGTATATATATATATTTTAGCATGATAATGGATTTTGGTATTGAGTATTCTCTGCATACTATTGCCTCAATTGTCACAAGAATTGTATAATTGGCGTGACGATTGATGTTGTAGTACAAAGAGGAAGCTCTTAAACACCGACAACCAAAAACCAATACAAAAATATTTGAAAAAAAAATATATAGAAAGAATGCCTGGCTCTTTAATGTTACTATTGTCTTGTACTGTAGTCGAGAAAATAGTAATCTACAGTATTTTGCAGTAGTAGCACAAGTGATGCCATTTAACGACATTTATACATGTATGTATATGATTAAACTCTGGTCTATTTACTATTGCCTCAACCGCCAAGTGAATCACCTAGAAATCTTGGCGCTTGTCACACTAGTAAAAAGATCCAGACAACAGCTCGCTCGATGAATCGCAAGGTTGAAACATAAAATCAAAGTATGATATTCTATTTGTCTGAAAACGATACTCTTAAAAAGTCAAAAAAAAAGAATAAAATAATTTGCTCTTAGGTAAATATTGTTATCAGATTTCTATTTATTTCATGATGTATAAAATCAATGATCAAATCAAATGGAATTAGTTCTTCTTTTACTTACATTACGAGTACATCAACTAATAAAATATTAGGTTATCTGGGACTCATTTTTTACCTTAATTCAATAGTTTTCTTTAAGGAATAAAATTCAGTTGTAAACTTGAAATGTACTTTATGCAATATATGCGTGAAACTTGTACTCCATTACACCGGATATACATTATCAAAAGAAAACTTTCTTGCAAGGCATACCGTTCAATATGTTTCAAAATTTTGAATACCTATGGTAATCAATCCGATCACCAGAAATAGTATAACAATTCATTGATTTTTCCTTAGCGAATTTAGCCGTAGACCATCAACTAGGTTTTTCGCTAGCAATTTATTCAAGTACACTATTTTACTAGAACACAGTGATGTAACAACACATCATTATTGCAGCGATTTTGTTTAACACCTAGTCAGGACAACATGTTTTGAAAATAAAAATTGATAGTGTAAATGTCTTTGAAGACTAGTGCTCATTTTCGCTACATGCTCAATTGTGCGTATTACAAGGATTCTCGGCATCATGTATGGCGAAATCTAATCGTTTCTCTTTTAATTTGATTTGAAAAGACAAATGGAGACAACAACACAAACGGAAACGTGAAATGTCTCTACTGGAAAAAATTTAGAACAGCTTGTTCGATTTTAATTTATTATAATTCGTGGAAACATTATTTTTATTGATTAAATAATTTCCATTTTCATTTAATATAGGCAATGGGTCAACATAACGAAGTGCTTCGTAGACAACAAATTGAATAGTTTGAGCTAAATTTTCAATTGTAAAATTATCATCTAAATCTGGCATATGAATAAATATTGTTCGTTTCGAATCGATAAATAATGATTGATAATAAATGTATTCGCAAAGATATCTAAGTAGAATGAGAGAAGAGAAAAAGACGGACTCAAACATTATTTCAATAGAATAGCTTTCCTAATACCTTCCAGCATTATCAGAAACAATAATTGGTAGATTTGTTTGACGTTGTACTCGAGCACAAATGTCACGAATTGGAAGACTTGTCATTAGACGTTTTGATGAATCATTTTTGATGCATTGACCTATTTCCGGTACGGTACCTTCATTATCTGCATGACAGTAATCTGCATTGTAAGCAAATCTTTCCAAACGAATTTCTTTTGATCCTTTGGCTAAACCAAGATGAATTACGAGCTAGAATGATATTGGTTATTTTTATTCTTTTTTGTCAAAGACATTTTTTTATAACTTACAGTTGGATTGTATTTAATCCAATAATCAGGTATTTTTGTTCTTACATCATCATAGGTTACTTCTAATTGTTTAAGAATTAGATGTATTGGACGTGTCCAATCAAGATAGATTTTTAATGCTTTAGCAATTTCCCAACTAGAATTCACCATCACAGAACCCGACGAATCGAAACCAGTGATAAGAACAATAGGAATGTTTGATTCTTGAGATGAATTCATTCTCTTTATCTAGAAGAAGAGAAAAAACGAAAATATCTTACAGCATTCTTAAGATAATAAAATAATGTATAAATTTGTTTTTTTTTACAATCAATCTGTGTTGTTTGTTATGTTTATTAAATAAAGAAGAGAAAAAAAATATTTATTTGTGATTGATTGCAAGAACAAAATTACCTAAACCAACGGAGCTTGGATCAATTCAAAAGGGAATCGTTTTCTGTTGCATATATGTAATTTATATTACTGAATATGAATAGTCAAAATAATGAAAATCTCACGTTGGATGAAATAAAATAAAAACATTAGAAAAATCTTTTTCATTTTCATATGATACAATTTATAATGTTATAAAAATAATCACGGAAAAGACCTTTGATTATACTAATATTTGTATGTCGATCGATCTCAATCAACTGGTATCTCAAGCATAAAAAAATATGTTTGCTTAATAGAAACTAGTCGTGATGTAAAGATTTGAATAAAATCAGAACCATATTTACCTAGATGGTTTTATCGTGCTTATTTTGTCATCCATTATGTTTTACTACAACGTACATTTCAATCAGTCCTGACTTTTGTTTTTTACAGATCTTCCTAATTTACGCTATATATTCCTTTTATCGATAGGGTCCACTGTTTTTAATATATGTCATTGCTACAAAAGACCAACGAAAATTTTAAAACTCGTCAGTACTATTCAAATGTAGAGAGACTCAGATTAGTTTTATAAATAGAACGAGTATCAGAACCGGCTAGACAGCATGACTATACTATCGTTTGAGTGTAGACTAAAGCTCTAGCACACAATTTATATTCGGCGTTTTCAGTAAATAGAATATGATATGATCATTGAATAATAACTTATGAATTGTCGAAAAGAAATATTTATTCTATTATTTATTCGGAATATCTATATTAAAATCATTGTAAATCGTTATCATTTTAAATAAAGCTTACAAAAACTAGTCTGCATGATTATGCAAATATTTTTCTCTAGAAATGTTTTTCTAAATACTTCTTTTCGGGCTCAGCATGCCATACTATATCTACAAACATGAGCTAATCGATTTTACTTAATATCAGACCGGATGTTAAGTAGGGGCGTTACCAGAAAAAAATTGTAGGGGGGTGGGAGCTGAGCAGTCCCCATCCCCTAGATATGCCCTTAATGCTAAGTCTCAAAATCAATCACGTGTGAGCAACAAAAAAAATTATTCTAAATAAAAAGGTGGCAACTATTCTAAATATATAATAATATATAAAACTAGGCGAGTACAATCTAAAAAGAACCGAGGAGAAATGAACATTTACTGTGACGTTTGACTTATTGCCACCTGAATTTTTGGCTCATAGAATTTCTCTTTAAAAATTAATTTGATCTATATTTTGATATCACCTTAATGTGTTTAAAATATTTTTATTCAGCACTAAAATAAAGCACTGTACAATATGTAAATAAGTGCGCTATGCAGATAGAAAGTGTTATTATTCAACAGGGTGAAGTAGACATGGGAAAATATTTTGATTTACTTGTCAAATAGAAACAAATGACAAAAGAATTACATTAATCAATTCTTTTTTTTATTTGTTTCGGTCATCCGATCCGACACCTGTTCTTTATATAGAAGAGCTGTTTTCAGAATGGTCCAAAAAATAAGGCCATTTAATTAAGTACATTGTTCTGCTCGTGACTTTTGAACATTGATGTCGCACTCAATCGGTCTTTTTCTGTGTGATTAACTATTGAGATATTACCGTTTCTTTTAATAAATCTTCGATTAAAATTCATTATCTAGCGTAATCAAAGAAAAAACACATTGAGTTATACTTTTGACGCCGGAAAAAAACAAAACTAATTAACGCCAGGGAGAATGATTATAGTCGTTATTTAAAATATATACCAAGGGCAATATGTAATGGAAGTGAAATGCATGTCATAACGATTGATTGTTTTTCTTCTACTTAGATCGCTAGGCTGTTGGATTCAGCTGTGAAAGTTTATGTTGACCTGGCATTTCTTGATGTAAAACAAGAATACTTTGAACAGCTTCGCTTGTTTCATCGTTAGTTCCTAACGATACGACATTTTTTTTTTCAAACCATCAAAACACGTCTTTTTCTCATAAAAAGAAAGACTCGCATTTGATTATGATTTCCTGCCATAATTACAATTGTCAATGCTTGAATAGACTTTGCGGATGTAATTTCTACTTAACGCTATTCGCTTATTTCCATTATGCACATGAAGTACTCAAATATGTTGTTGTCAAAAATCATATTGGCTATTTTTCTCGCCGAAAATATTCAAAAGGCAATTTTTTAGTCTGATTTCTTCATTTTTTTCACTGAAGAAATAAAAAGGTCGTGAATATATTTAGATGCTTTCATTTCTTTTTTTTCCAGAAGCCCATTTCTGTTTATTGTTTCTAAAGATCAAGACAGAATGCTTTTACTTTTATTAATAACTTATAATAAGATTTTACTTTTGTTTTTCTGAATGCCAAATTACATTACGACTCCATCAGAGAGAATATAGTGGAAACTGTTATTTACAGAGTTTTCAACGCCATAAAAGAGTAACTGCACTTGTTAATTGCATTAGATTGCTGAATGCACTAAAAATTTATGTCGAGTTTGGCATGATAAAAAGCTTTTTAGTGTATCTTCACGATCCTAAGAGGTGAGGATTTTCATTTCATTAGACTTTGATTACAGTAGAAATTAATGTCGAACTAGTCATACAGAAAATGTGAGCTTTGATAATTTTATTGTAATCATCGCAACTGAATTTCTTCTCTTTTTTTTCCTCAAGATATTTATCATGACTTGTTTTACTTATTGAATCATTAGCAATAGTCATTAAATCATCAGCACATAGAATTTCTTTATCTTTCTATATAGAAATTCATAGATAAGTACATATTGATTTTGTGATAACGATTAATATTTTTCACGTTTCCATATGTCATTCGAGAACTAGTCTTTTATTACTATTGGAGACCAATGGAAAATAATTGTATCTCTCATGTTATCCATTTTATCTATCTATCTATCTATCTCTCTATATGCATGAACGACGAAAACTATTTACTAGTAATTTACTTGTTTCTGGTTTTTTTCTTCATCTCCGATATACTACGTTCTCTAATTTAACTGCCATACACGCAACGTAGTAAGCGGATAACGGCAGGTAAAAAGATTAATTTATTTCTATAGTTTTTCATTACATACACGCGATCTTTGATGAGTACTATTTTTGCTGCAACCTCGTTTAGTATCTTGTTTTATATCACACCACAATTCGATAGGCACAATTTATTAGATATACAATCTAAACATTTCATCTGAAGAAAAGATCCTCTTGTGTTACTTGTTATGAACAGAAAAATAAATATATATATATATTTATGAGAAAAATAAATAATAAGATCACATATTCTAGTATTTTGGACGTTAGGTCGTTTGTTTCCGGTGAGTAAGAAACGCGACAAATGCGTTCTTTTCCTCTTTCGTCTTCTGCTCTCTCTTTCGGCATACGCACATTCATGCCAATCCTATTTCTCGTTTTTCCTATATGGGTTCTTAAAAGTATTTTTGGGTGCATAAGATGACGATGTGAGTATAGACATTTCTCGGCTAGTTTTCCATTCGGCTCCATACAATCGTAAAAGAGCGAATGAACGATGACGATAACAACACAACACGAAGAGAAATAAAGAAAAAGAAGAAGGGGGAAAGACAAAGAAAAAAATTATTCGCTACAGACTCTCGGGCTTCGCTCAATTCTAGCTATCAATCGACATTTGGATTCATTGTTTTTCTTTTCAGAATATCAGCATCATTTTTACATTCCTTTTTATTTCTTTTCCCTGTTTTGTCACGAAGCGTTGAGTCAACACGAACTTCAGCAAAAGTGAATGAGGCGTGTAATGTTTGTGTGAATATTAGTCGAACAAAAAACAAAAGCACTCTTGTTATTGAAGAATTATAAGCAAGCAAACGAATCAATGAATATCTACTATGGTTTATGTCTTTTAACATTTATTTTCTCAACTATAAACTCCATCATATTACCAACCGTGAATAAAGATTGGCTGATTGAATTTCATCAGCATGTTGAGCCAGAAGCAGCAAAGCGTATCGCCAAACGATATGCAATGGTTTCTCGTGGACCAGTATGATAAAAAATTGAAATTGAATGCAAACGTGCCGTTTTTATTTTCCAATCATAGGTAATGAATGACAAACGTTTGTATCATTTTGTGGATCTTAAATCAATAAATCCGCAAAGACGTCGAAAACGAGATACTGCTCAAGAAGAATTTATTCAACGAAACGAGCTTGTAAATAGAATTTCTTATGTTTTAGTTTAAATCTATGAGTTTTTCTTTCTAAATCAATAGGTTAAACAAGCTATTCATCAAATACCATATATTCGTGCTAAACGTGGCTATCGCTCTCCCGATGAGTTTAAAGCCGCTTTTCCTGAATATCAATCTCCTACGGATCCTTTTTTTCAATATCAATGGTATCTAGTAAGTTATTTTTCTTATCAATCAAATGAAATTAATTTAAATGAATGAAAACGCCAACATTAGAAAAATGTTGGTCAAGCCGGTGGCAAACCACGACTCGATCTGAATGTTGAAGAAGCTTGGGCACTTGGATATACAGGTAAAAATGTCACAACAGCCATTATGGATGATGGTGTTGATTATACACATCCGGATCTCATGCGCAATTATGTATGTGAATATAACAAAAAAACAAGAAAATAATATAATTTCGAAGTGAAAAATATTATTTTTCAGAATGCAGCCGCTAGTTATGATTTCAGTAGTAATGATCGATATCCATATCCACGCTATACCGATGATTGGTTTAATAGGTATTGAACTATATGAAGGGAAAATAATTATTTATATTAAAATAAATTTATTCTAGTCATGGAACACGTTGTGCCGGTGAAATTGCTGCTGCAAAAAATAATAACATTTGTGGTGTAGGTGTTGCTTATGATTCAATGGTAGCCGGTAAGAAATAGTTACTGAAATAAAATCACAATTTTCAATTTTTCTAATTTCTATAGGTATAAGAATGTTAGATCAACCTTTTATGACAGGTACTAGTAGGCTATAGATGAAATAGAAAATAATTTTTATGTTTCTTTTTTTTGCTAATAGATCTAATTGAAGCCAATTCTATGGCACATGAACCGAACATGATCGATATCTATTCAGCATCATGGGGTTTGATAACTAGCCTTGAATATATTCAGCTAGTTAACTATGTTCTACATTACTACAGGACCAGTTGATGATGGAAAAACAATCGATGGGCCACGACATGCAACTATGAAAGCTATTGTCAAAGGCATTAATGAAGTAAATACCACTTCTGAACAAAATAATGACTATAACTATGTTTATTTTGTTTTCAATTTATAGGGTCGCCACGGTCTAGGTAAGAGGCAAATAATTGTATGTTTGAACAAGTTTCGCAATTATCTTCTTAATTAGGTTCGCTGTATGTATGGGCTAGTGGCGATGGCGGAGTTAATGATGATTGTAATTGTGATGGATATGCTGCTTCAATGTGGACAATATCAATAAATTCAGCAATAAATGATGGAAGAACAGCACTTTACGATGAATCTTGTTCATCGACACTTGCTTCAACATTTAGTAATGGTCGAAGTGAAGATCCACATGCCGGTGAGTCTAACGCGAGAGAAAAATAATAATTAACCTTTGCGAATATCTTCTTTTTTTTCAATCTCTAATTAGGAGTTGCAACAACTGATTTATATGGTCAATGCACATTGAAACATTCGGGTACATCAGCAGCAGCACCAGAAGCAGCCGGCGTATTCGCTCTTGCCCTGGAAGCAAAGTATTAGAAAGCTCAGGACATTTTCAAAGCATATCTTTGTTTTCCGTTTATTTTAGTCGTCAATTAACCTGGAGAGATGTTCAGCACTTAACTGTTTTAACAGCAAAACGTAATCAACTATTTGATCCGTCAAAACAACATTTATGGCATATCAATGGAGCTGGATTAGAATTTAATCATTTATTTGGTTTTGGTGTACTAGATGGTTTGTTTTTGTTTTTATTGTAAATATATATTCAATGCTTTTTCTCTTAATTATCTAGCCGGTGATATGGTTCGACACGCTAGAGAATGGAAACCCTTACCAGCAAGATATCATTGTTCAGCTGGTAATATTACGGGAAAACGGTAAATATTTACAAAAAGAAAAAGGAAAATACATTAAAAATGCTAATTTTAATATTCTAATACCTAGACCAATACCAGAAAAGGGTTCATTAAAAATAACAATAGTTACCGATGCGTGCAAAGCTACTAAAGATGAAGTTAATTATATCGAACATGTTCAGGCATTTATAACATTAAAAAGTAGTCGCCGCGGTAACACAGTTATTTTTATAACGTCACCACTTGGCACAAGGTAAATATCTACAAATAGACTTTGCTATAGATTGTTTTTATTTTAAAATCTAGATCATTAATTCTAAGCCGTCGTCCATTAGATGATGATTCAACGAAAGGCTTCTTTAAATGGCCATTTATGACAACGCACGCATGGGCTGAACAAGCTCAAGGTACATGGACACTTGAAATTCGTTTTGACAATGCAGATAATGCGAATGCACCGTTGACAAATCAACAAAATCAAACAAAATCGGACAAAGAGCAAAGTGAAAAATTAACTACCGGTGAATTTTTCGAATGGTCATTAGTGTTACACGGAACAAAAACATCACCATATGCCGATCAAACACCATTATCCGTACATGGAGATAAGAGTAAATTGTCGATTACTAAGCAAATACATGCAAATAACTTTCACGACAAAGCAAAATATATTAAACTACTTAAACAGGATAATCAAAAACGTTTAGGAAGCGATGATGAAACGATCATGTAAACAAAACAATGAACTCGAATCGAATCCATGAGACATAGTCTAGTGAATGCTACGAAAGAAAAAGAAATGATTGTACAAACACTGTACAGCCTTCTTCTTTTCTTCTTTTCTTCTCTTCTTTGTCCTATGATACCTGAATTTTGTGAATATGAAATACGCTTATCATTATTCGAGAAAGAAAAAGTTTATTTATTTATTTTATTATCTTCTGTTGCTCCGCGAGAAAAAAGAACAAATGAAATGTCATTGAATATGATCATCAAATAGAATGATGATGATGCTGAATTAAAATAAAATGAATAAATTATTTTTGATTTATATTTTTATGTTAATACAAAAGAATAATCTAACTGATGAAATAAATAATAAAGAGCCATTTGTCTATTTAATGTCGAGAACTTTTCTGTTTTCAGTCATAGTGCACAACTCTTCTAAGGAAGTGTTAAGTGAGCTGATCGAGTACTTAAGACGACGATAATCAATGTGCTGCTGAGATTAACTTGATCTGATGGCTTCTTAGGCTTGATTAGAAGATAAAAATAGACAAAAAAAATCTTAAGGAAAAATCCATATTTGCGAATACTTCTGAAACATTGCTTACATCAAAATATAGCAAATACTTGTAAGAAGTGAACCGAATATCTAATTTAATGTTTCAATATTAAAAATCATTCATGACGATACAAGATAATCGTGGATCACATTTTAGTGTGCCGTAGTTGATCAGATATAAAAACACAAGAATTTTCTGCAGTTCAAAACCTATTAAATTATATCTAATACCAATGACAGGCGTTTCTCGACTACCACCTCTGGCAGTCACCGAAGAATACATCTCGCTTTAATATTCCATTAATAAAGTTGAATCTACAGTTCAATTTTGTTAAGGATAATATTTTATGTAAGGCCTGATTATTATTATAAATTGCCGTAAGTTTTATACCAGATCGTCGACAATGTTTTTTTTATATGAATAGTGTATCACTGAACTCTTGGCAGTATTTTATTTGACATTTTGCCCATAGTTTCAAGGTGAGCTATGACGTTGAATCCATTTACCATGCAAGCAATTGATAAAAAAAACGCTTTCATGCTCTCTGATTTTGCATACGCCTATCACCTAGGTTGACACTCAAAGTCACTACGCCTTCCTAATAACGGCTTAATCATTCTTACGTATTGCCGTCTCGTTCGATCATCATTAACCATTTACATAGCGGAAATGTAGACAGCATCGCAAAATCTGATACACGACATGAAACACCGAGAATAATGTACGCCGATCTTTGGATAACTGCTGTATTAGATAGTTTTTTATTATTGTAAAACTACAATTTTGCTAGTGTAACTTGAAGTCAGCATACAATTGAATTCAAATGAAAATTTCTTTTTCTTTTAATATTATAAAGTGTTCGAACGACTTCATACACAGAAATTGACTTCTGTGCTTTACATACAAGAAATGTACATCCAAAAAAAGATTATGAAATACATACAAAAAACAAGCATAATTATACATTTTTGTCTTGCTAATCGTTCTTTGACTAGAAAAATCTTGATTATATTTTATCGCTAGATGTTTTCATATGCAAGAAACGATATGGTGATGGTAGATGATGACGCTTTGCCAGTTCTTCTGTTCGTTCTTTCCATCGCTGTATCGGTGTCTTTTTTTGTAAACGTTTTACTGAACGAGCAACTTCACCGGTTCGAGTTCCTGACGAAATAATTTTATTACCCCGGATCAATGCCTCTTCAATAATACGTTGTTCAGGTGTATGCATTAATCCGATAGTAAATGGACTTTTATTAACTTCATTTATTTCTTGTGATGATAATCTACGGGTTAGTGATTGCGTATGCGATCGATTATGTACATTATCGGATGAATGTCGTTCAAATGCACGTACTTGGTTTTGTACATGACCACATAATTTATCTTTAAGTACGATAAAACTATCTCGACCATGATTGAGTAGACTAACATTCTAAATAAGGTACACACATGAGTATTTAAAAAAAACAGAAACTTCTTTCTTTCATTGCCTAGGAAAAACGAGATTTGGTATATTTTATTAAATATAGATTAAACAAAAAGAGAAGGTATGAATTATTGTCCAAAAAAAAAGGAAAAAAACATTGAAGTTTACAACAAAAAAGAAATAAGAAAGGTGAATTAGATATGTGTGTTTACCTCATCATTCTCTTCGAGATTCAGTAATACCGATTTGTTATTTGATGCAGGAAATAAATCATGGGATGGTTGAGATATCGAACATGAATTTGTACGTTCTTTAGTTACTGATGCTGGTACACCATCAATGGACGATGCAATTAAATTTGTTATTGATGAAGAAAGACGAACTGGTATTTTCGGTGTTGTTAAATTAATATCATCTTTAATAATCGAAGAGAAAAAAACTAATTAACATACCCAGTAACTCATCAATAGCTAACCGAACAAACACTCAGCAACTTGCAGTCTATTTTGGTCATCTTTTAAGTAATGAAAAAAGGGACTTAGTAGAACGAGTGCGGAGGTTTCAACACAGTCTTTTGTGAATAGATAAGACAGTCTCAGTAACTTTTGTAGACAAACAGCAAACACTAAAGTTTTCTTTTGTCGTCTAATTATTTATAAGTCGCATTTTATCTATATATATATATACATATTCTTACTATTATTGAAATTTTGTACAGGTGTTTTTTTAATTTGAAAATTTTCACAATCTTCATCCTAAAAACAAAGCATAAAGTAAAAATTTTTAATTATCAATCAAATTCGTGAAAACATACATCTGAATCTGTCAATCGAATACAACGATTTTCATTTCGTCGTAAAATTTCGTCAAGGTCATTTTCTCTATTTAACGGCTTTTCTACTAAAACTGATATAATCACTTGTGTTGGTTCTTGATTAGTAATTTTAATTGCATCTTTTTGTTCTTTATTGTCTTCATTTATTAGTGTGTGTGATGTAACTTCATTCTCGTCATTTTTCATATCTAACTGTGGAGCATCAGCAGCATTCGTTTGATCATTCTCACATGTAGGTTTTGTATGACTACAATTTCTTTCTAAATCAGTTTCATCAATATATGCAACATCGAGTGAACCATGATCATTAGGCATGGGCTCATTTGTATATTCCTTTAATGATTGCATATCTTCATTACCAACAACAACAGCTAGATTAAGTTCATTGGCCATATCTTCGTCATCGTCATCATCATTAAATGAATCTTCTTGCGTTAAGTTATGATTCGGATCTTTTGATTGTTGATCATAATCAATATCATCGTTTGTGCCTGGTTGTTGACTTGGTAATGAATGAGAATAATTATTAAGCATACAAACAACATGACGAGTCTGCTGTTGACCAGCACTTGATGATATTGAACGACGTGGCCGAAATGTTGTCGTTGCTGTAAATGATGTACTAGTAACATCATCAGAATGGCGACGAGCAACACCAAAACTCGAATGCATGAGGAGTGATGTACCCGCTAATTGTTGTGATGATATTTGCAATGAATTATCTACTGCTTTAATTGGTGATGGCGATGATTCAGTAAACGAGTTAGAATCAATCGTAGATGTAGTTAACATTGGAGCGTGAATTGCAATGAGAGGTTTTCGTTCAACAACTTTCTAAAAAAATATACAGAAAATGAATTTTGTTTATCAATTATCGAACTGACCCGTGCCGACTTTGGCCACTTCCACGAATCGAGCAGATTAAGCCTAAACATGAAAATCAGTAAAATAAAATCGATGTGAAAAACGTTTTTGTTCTTTACTTTTTTGGATCAAGTGATTTATTATTACAAGAAATCGATGCTAGATTCGGTAGTAATGTTGTAGGTGTTTCCGATGGTATCATTGATGATTGCTGATGGTTGCCATGTCCAAGTGAAACATTGCTCATCATGGACGTAGTCAATGTTGTCATCGAGCCACTTGGGGTTGTCGTTGATAGTGAAGATGATGATGTTGCAGATGATGGTGTGGGATTGATAATAGTATTCATAAAGCGTACTGGAACTTCATCGGTAAAATGAAGTAATTGTGGTAAATGTGAATGTTCAATTTTGAAAGGAAAACCTAAACGCAAATGTAGCTTAGAGATTGTATTCAAGAATAAGAGAGCAACATACCAGGATCATTCGTATGACTTGATGTTTTCTTTTTTCGTCGAAATGCTGATATTGGACTTGTAAAACGATTTGCATTTGGTAACGAGATTTTCTCTTGTGATGATGTTTTTGTTTTACTAAAATAAAGGAAAATATTCGTTTTCTAATCGATCGAGTAGTAGAATTCAAGAGCTGTCTTTTTATATAATAGATGAGCTAGAAAACGAAGAAATCTAATTGCTCAAATACTTCTAACAAATGACCCATAGTGGTCATTTACTCTAGTTAGAGAATCTGACTTTGTGAGATCGCATTAGTTCGAGTAGGTTTTTGACAACTTCATTTTACATGTCTTATAATCTATCCGAATATGATACACTAAGTAACATGGATCTGAATGAGAAATGTATTTACCCTCGTTTTGAATTACCACCATTTGGATCATCGCTTGATTTTCTTTTCGTTGTTGTACTTGAAGTTGATGATGATGATAGACAATGTGCATTAATACTATTCTGTTGATAATGATATCGATGTTCTCGTGTATGAGACGATGATAATTTACCACTTCGATCGAGAAATGCATTTGTTTGATCCCGACTATCGTTATTCGAACCAGATCGACGACGAAGTCGATTAGTCATATGAACAAGAAATTCTAGAATATAGAGACGGAAAACTTAAAACAGCATACTAAATACGATAATAACCTTTCACAGAACCACTCCGTCGTTTTTTTGCATTAGCTGGATCATTCATTTTTCCACCACCAATACCATTTCTAATACCATTTTCAATAGCAAAACTATCGTCACCATTTTGCACAACTTCTTTTTGTCTCATTTCTAATAGCATTTGTGATCGTTCAAAAATTGAGTCAGTTATAAAACCAAGTTTCATTGCATTTGTAATTAATATTTCAACAATATCACTAACATTCGTTGCACATTGTTCAGTCATTATAGTTGCTTTACCATCAATCGGAGTACGCATTATACCAGGACCAACGCAAATAGCTAAATTTTTTGCATTCATTTTATTTTCGCGTTCATGTAATGTTATTTCATGTAAAAATCGTAATATATAAATAAGTGCATGCAAATGTTCATCGGGTAAAAGTAAAAGAATATTAAGATAAATGTCAATTTTTCTCTCTGCTGGTAATGCACGCATGGAAAAACAATCAAGTAAAAGATCTTGTATAGGATATGTAATTAATGGATATGTAAGACGACGGAGAAATTCTTTAAACAATGAACAAACATCGAATACTGTATTCGATGATGATAAACTTGGCGTTAATAAACCATCTTCAATACGAGCCTAAGAAGACAAAGAAAGATGATTTTCTTTAACATAAAATACTATTAGACGACTTTACCATAAGTTCTTTAACACGTTGAGATCCACCTGATTTTCGAAAGAGACCTTCATGTTTTATTGAACGACGTATGCAATCAAAACACCATCGTAAAAAAATGGGTACTGTTAAATCGAGTTCATCTATTCGTACTGTGACTGTATCCAATTGATGTAGAGGCACATTAAATACACGTGTTCCACGTTGAGTTTTTGATATATGAGGAGATGTTTGACCGATCGTTATATTACGATGTTTATTTGTATCAATGCGTAAGCCGACATTACTAAGATCACTTATAATAAATTCACGAACACTACCTTTTTCTTCAATTGTAATAAAACTACGCATGTCTTTTCTTTGTTAATGCTTAAGAAAGTAATAAGTATAAATAAATGAAAAGTTCTAACATTTCTAAAAATAGAATATGCAAATAAGTTTCAAAAAATAGTCAATTGCCGTAATACAAGTTGAATTGCATGACAAGAAGAGAGATTTTAATAGAAGAAAAGACAAGCTCACAAGACAGAGAACTGTCGATCTATCCAATACGCTTTGCGCGAAAAATCAATCAACTGACCAATGATCTGTTGAACATCGGTTTTAAGTGACCTCTATTGAGATACTTTTTTTTTTATGAATGTGATATGATCGAAACATAACGATAAGGAGCTTAACTGATTATTATCTTTGCTTTTATTCCAGATGCTCGGAAATTGATAATATCGAAAAATTTCAATCAAAAGAAAACCGCGTCCAATATTAAAGCAGTGGATGTAGATAACTTACTGTAATTGATAAAAAAAAATACAGCCGATCTAAGAGGGTACAATATTTAGTCTGAGACGTGTTATTTCTTCTGAATTCACCCATGAAATTTGTAATTAGACGTAAGTTCACACAAGCAGAAATTAAGTCAGACTTTATTTGTCAGGTCTCATTAAGCCTGTTGTTTCGCCTGTGAGTTCATGTCTAGCAACGAGACGTTATTCACATCTAATGTCTGATCCTATATCAATAAGATTCGTTATGGTTTATGATGTGAGAAAATAGGAGCGTGTCTAAGGTTAATTACAGTCTATGATCATATATTAGCAACATCAGCAATGTTTCAATGTTAATGACTGCCAATGTATGTGTGTCAGTGGGCGGGTAGTCCTTCTAAATATCTACCTCTATAGTACAGTAGTCGTTTCTAGGTTGTGTTTCACAAAAAAAATAGTCCTATTAATATCAAGATCGACAGTATTTATTTGTCTGGGAATTTCCAGTTAAGTTCAGTATGCAAGTAACGAAGCAATAAAGAAATAGGCGTCTATTTATTTAAGACATTAATACATAGTGACGCAAGTTGTACTAATGTATGATTTTTTCCTAGCGAATGGCAAGCTGTTGACAATAAATTATTGTTAAATTCTATTCATGGACACATCTTCAATTGAATAGATTGACGGATAATTACAACAACTAAAACGACGACATCGAAAAGAATTATAGTGACGTTCGTAGACTAGAAAGAATTCAAGCAAACAAATAATGATCCATATGCATTCCAGCTGCTAATCTCTGCAAATCATGTGCATTTGTAAAATTTTGACTTATACGTCAATCTCGCTGAGATTTTAATCAGACAGAATTTTAGAATGTGAATAGTTCGAACGTATGAATTTATCGATTGAAACTCATTCATCTGATTTCTTTTTTTGTAATCTCAAATAAACAGTTGACGTTTAGTTAGCAATATCATAAATGGGCCCTTAAATATTGGTAACAAGTAGTTTAATTTTAGTATAGAATTTTAACTACACGACAATTGACTAGAAAAGTGTTGATGTGCGCGTACATAATCAAAAGCAGAATCAGAATTGCTACCGAGCGTTCATAACGATATTATGCACAATGTGAAAGTTAGTAGTAACAGAGTTCTGATTATTTTCTTCTAGTATATACTCTAGAGAGAAAGTAGGAGAAATAACACAGAAAAATTATTTATATATACACACACACTGTCTCTTCCTTGACGCTTTTATTGTTTCTTACTATAGCATTTCTATACTACATATATATATATATATATATATATATCGTACTTGTACAAGTAATAATCATAGTAAGGCAAAATGTGCGCATAATGCGCGGTGTGTTTAGACACACGTATAGAACCAATGAGCTCATAAATACTATTTGGACATGACTAAGGACAAGGTCTCTTCTTTCTAGCAGCAATAGTAAACATATATCGGAGAAGAAAAAGAAAAAGAGAAAAAGCTTATGGGAGAAGTGTACAACTGAGCAAAGGGCTATCCTATGAAAGAAGAGACGAGACATTCTCGTAGAATATAGTAGAAAGAATTATATATACAAGTTCTATACAAAGGAACAAGAATAATAATAATAATGGAACATTCATTAATACCTGCAACACCTGTTGAACTAGAACGATCAAGCTTAGATCAGAGTTGGGGTTTTCGCCTTCAAGGTGGAGCTGATTTTCGATTGCCATTGTCAATTAAAAAGGTTTGCATTGCATCAAAAGTTTTCTTATAAGACAAACAAATCATTTATTGTTTCTCGGATATATAGGTAATACCTAATTCACCATCACACAATAAAATTCATCCAGGTGATGCAGTCGCTCTTATTGATGGACAAGATGCAAGTTCAATGACACATAATGATGCAGAAAATTTAATTCGCAATTCATTACGATTACAACTTGTCGTTCGCCGGTATGTTCTGCTTATTTACATCTATAATATTCTAATCGAGTTAGAAGATAATGAAAGCCGATAACTAATTAATTCATACTTCATGGAGGCAGATATCGGATTCTACAAGAAACATGAATTCTAGGATACGAATGTAGTAGAGAAAATTAGTTGAGACATTCTATTATATGAGTAATGCCATCATATTATACTAATTTTATCGTCATTTCAAGAGCATAGACCGACAAAGGTTAATGCAAACTGCTATTGACCTTCATTCTTCAAGCAGGGTGGAGCAACATGCTTATATGATATGTAATCGAAGTCTTGTTTGAAGATTATAAATGATGCTACATCAGTCGTTGTCACATGACAGGACTTCTATTTAACTCTGCAAATCAATCTTGTCTATAGATCGGATCGATTTTCCCATGATGTCACAGATAATACATCATTTTGACTTGTGTATAACGGCTAAAAACCATTGCCTATAGCAATTAATCGTCAATACAACGCAAATATTTCTAAAAATTAAATCAGCAGTTTATTTAAAAAGTGAAATTTGTTTTTAGTGGTCAACTCAATACGATTCGACCAACGAAAGGCACTGTCAAATTTAATGCTGCTCCTAATCCACGTACTAATTCAGCATTAAACAATACTGTAACGCAGAATAACTATCGTCGTTTCTAATCGATTATTCGTCTTTTATACTTTTTGTTTTTGTCAATATTCAGAATTATTAATTTATATATTTTAAAAATTGTAGTGTGCGAATACAATCCTACTTTTTTTTTAACATTTATTTCTTTTGCATGTATGATTTAAAGAAAAACAGTGAAAACTCTAGATGAACCAATTGAAATAAATAAAAATAACAGCACGCATTGAATTACAAAGAGATAATCGAATTCCTATTTTTAGACCTATTAACAAGAAACGACATTCATATGACACAGAAAAGTCAAGTACAATTAATACTATTGACTACTTTCTGGAAAAGTCTGTGTAATTACATTTCTATCAATCATTTGATTTATTGTAACAAATTTTACTAGGCGAAACATTCATTTGTGCTTAATTGTCATTTTCCAGGTTTGAGTATTTAATTAATATTATTGACGTGAAAGGCTCAGTTGGTCGACAGTCACATCGTGAACTATCAACTTTATTGACTTCCCGAGACATATTCAACAAGTAGTATTTATTCTCTAGTTATTTTTGTTTAATTCAATATCGGATTTTATTTCTTATGAAATATCTGAATAGCATAGAATTAATTTTGAACTATCAGAGTAATTTTGCACTATCTGCTATCTTCAAGTATGAGAAAAAAATAAGCCAATGTGTTAGTGTTCTCGCTTGATTGTTATCTACGTATATACAAGGTATGAACATTAAGTGCGGCGCGTATTGTAATGTAAATGATAGATGAAGAGCAAACAACAACAAAAACAAGAATATTGTTATGTATTCACTCACATGGCGAGAAAAAATAAACAAATAGTATCTGTGTTTTTCAGTAAATATGCGTAGTTGTTCTGTATTTACATTCAGTTTATCGAGAGAGACAGATAGATCTAAAAGAAAATAAGAATTGATCTTTATCGTCAGCGTATCTATGTCAAGTCTTATGAAGCATGAAATTCAAACAAAGTCAAACTATTAATGGTTACTGAATATGAACCGTAACGATGAGCGTGTTTTTGTTTTCTCTCTCAATATACAAGCGTTGTTAAATAGAACGTATTCTGGATTATCTTGATCCTTTCGATAGGCATCAGCGAGTATCGATCTGTGGTGAACTGAAATATGAATAGCAAATTGAGAATGAGTTAGATGATGGCAATATATCTTTTCGAAGATTAGTTCTGGGGTGTTTCAAACTTTGGATCAAGGATTTAGAATAAATGTGCAAAATATACGATTCTAGATCTGTTCTTTTCTTTTCTTATTAAAATTAGATGCAGATAAAACTGTTTGTCAGCAAATGGTAGAATTTTTCAATGCAAAATTATATAAACAATAAAAAAAATGTATGGATTAGATAGAAATCGTGTATGTTATTATTCGTTTGATTCATTTTAATTGACTTTGTAACTCTAAAGAAATGAATATTAACAGATTCGAATCGAATAACTGTAGAAAACCGATCATTTAGTCGATTCAAAAGCACACGATAATTGTTTTCTTTTCATAATTTTTTAAATCAGTGAGTGTATATAAGATAGCAAACAAAAAACTACTAGTCTAGATATACATGTAATTAAAAGTTTTATTAATCTCTACTATCAAACATCAAATTTCTTACGAAAACCATCTACAAAGGCAAATTTATTCAGTTTGATCAACTCAATTTTTCTAAAGAATGTATCGCCAAGTAACATGTTCATCGCCTAAATTACGAATTTCCTTTTCAGACAAGTGCTCGTAGCCCCATCCTCGTCTTTCTTCTTCACTGCCTAGATCAGATGCAATGGGACGTGCTGCGGTTGTCACACACAATACGGAAGCTGCATTTGCAAGTGTAGCGAATGATGCCACTGTTGCACAAACCCGATCACGTCGTCGATTTTCTGCACGGAGACCAATTAGGAGGATTACTGCATTAATGACTCCAAATGCACAGAAACCTAAATTGACGGCATGACCAAGAATAAAACGAGGCGCATCTTGTGTACGATACAATTGTCCACTGATTACTCCACCGATATTGCCCACTGAGATCATGAATGCCAATGCAGTAGCTTTTTTCACTTGTGGACTAACATTGCCTGATAAAAATGCGATACAGGTCGCTATACATGGAGATAGTCCACCAGCAGCAAGAATCACTGCAATATAATTGACAACCAAATTATCAACTGCTATCAACATAGAATAACCAACTATGCTGATGGAAAGCCAGAAAATAATGAAAATACTTCGTCGAGCATATTTGTCCGAGATATAGGCCGTGATCATTGTTGTGAAAAAAGCAAATACATAGGGTGGTGCAGTAAGCAGTTGAGCTTGGTAAGTGACGAAGCCGAGATTATGAATAATGGTTGGCGAGAAAAATGATAGAGAATAGAACGGAACACACATTCCAATATAGCACATGGACCAAGCATAGATTTTCCATGTTGATAGAGCGGCCAAAACTTGTGGCCAGCTGAAGTGGTCATCAGATCCAGCACCAGTATCAATTTTTAATCGAGCAACAACACGCATGCATTGAGCCTCGGTAAGAAATTTCGGTCGATCGGAAGGAAAATCGTTGAGCAGAAAAACAGCTAGTGCTCCAACAACTACCGTTGCGATACCTTCAAGATAGAAGATCCAACGCCAACCTTCTTGCCCTCCAATACCAGCCATTCGACTGATACCATAGGCGAGAACGCCACCAAAAGCACCAGCAAGAGCAGCAGCCGAGAAAAGAATACTAACACGCCATGACAGTTCAGTTCTCCTATACCAACTCGACAGATAAAAGCTAGCACCTAAATATAACAGATTATCGACAAATCAGTCATAACTATCTCTCTCTGTCTCTCTCTCTTCTCATACCTGGAAAGAGACCCGATTCAGCACCACCTAAAACTAGACGACACACAAGAAGGCCTGTATACGATTGCACTAGACCCATCAGTGTCATTACAATTCCCCATGACACCATGATCATTGGTATCCATCGACTAGGCCGAAGTCGTTTAAGTATTAGATTTGAAGGAATTTCAAATATGACATAGGTGATAAAGAACACACTTAGACATGTATTGTATTGAGTACTGCTCAGATTTAAGGATACTGTAAGACCATCGAGTTTTGCTTGACCAATATTTACTCGATCGAGAAAACTCAAAAGATAAAGTACTGTCATTGTTGGAACCAGGTGCCAGTCTAGTTTACGCAAAAGCTTTTCATCTCCAGGATCATCTTCCAGCTCAGCGATGATAACATCACTCACTCCAGGTGTGCTAGGCTCTGTCTTGGCCGACATTGACGGACTGTTCTTCTCGCTCGCACCAGGATTGACCATAGTATTCGTAGAATATATTTCTGTCTAACTGTAGTCTACTCGGCAAGATCAATTTTACGAATGTGTGCATAAAAAAAGACATTTAGAGAGAGAGAGAGAGAGAGAGAGAGAGAGAGAGAGAGAAATAACATTACCCAAAAAAACATCTCTGGGCATGCCATTTTTTAAATTTTGTTATCAAGCTATTTCATCTCGTTAAATGCCGGGACCAAAGCAGCATATCATTGAAGGTGAGTGTATGGTGCACACTGATAGATTCATCTTTATAATATTAAATGCAGCGGTGCGAAAGCAAACAAAAATTTAATTAAGCCTCCAGCAATACTTTGATCGTAAACAAAGAGAAACGTGCAAGTATTCATTTTTTTTACGAGTGTCTGAATGTATTCGGACTGTTGCACTGAAATAGATTTACAAGTCATAATTATTAGTGAAAAATGCCTCATCAGAATGGGTCATTTTTTTCACACGTCCAGGTAGTCAGAAAAAAATACATAATAAGAGGCATAGAGTATTTCCGTTGATTTTATCAGATGCATTGTCCGTTCAAGTATTCGATATATTTCAGTTGATATTACTACTGGTTTTTGTTCTTAATTATAAACATCAAGTACACAATTATTCAGTAGAAAACTCCCCAATTCGTTTTCCTAACCCGAAATCAACGATGACACTTTCCTTTCTGGGTACTTGGCATAATTAAAATAACTCCTTCTCGTATACAATCAGCTGTAAATACTTTTATGAAATTTCAATTATTTTTCTAATCCATTAAAAATCAAAAATGAATCAGCGACATCAAGCAACATTTTTGTCTAGAAATGACTTAAATTAGAATTCTATAAAAAAGAATCTACAATTTTTCATAATAGAACACTCACTCAATTTTAATTAGTACAAAACTAAACATGCTTCCTAACAATCAACTTATAATGTAGCTAATTTAGTGTGAATTTAACTCGTCATTCTATTCTCTTTCAATAAAGAGAACGTCATTCATTCAGACTAAATGAACTTTTTTACAGTCTCATAAACACTGACATTAGTTTGGCATGTTTTACTGTGATTCTGGACCACGAGCATCAGATCCATTGTAAAGACATGCAATAAAAATATATGCAAATAGAATGTAACAGCTTTGAAACGCATAGATTCGAAGAGAAAATTGTGTATGATGAGAAATCAGTTTTATACTGTGCCACATGCCATCGATTCTTTGTTCGTGTATGCAGTCAAATCAGAGAAACAAATTTAGCTTTATTTCTAATGATATAAAACTATTTATTAAACAAATTTAAGGTTTACATTAATTTATGTACAATTGATCTCAATCACCTGACAATTTAATAATTGTTTTTATTAATAATGAGACAATAGGAAAAAAACGAAATGACTAGTGAAACCAAGGTTCATTTAGCAGATGTAGTCAGTTGTTTGGTTGGTTTTCTTTTCATTACAAGATTAATATACGATTCTAATTCGCGTAATGTCGATGGTTTAAGTATTTCAAAATCGATTTCCATCTCATCTCGACTTGAATCACGTAATGATGGTTCTCGTTTATATATAATCTATTGTAGGAAAAAAGAAAGATAGAAGAATAAATTATTATTGAAAAACAAAGATAGATAATTCCATGAACAAACCTCAACAACAGGACCAAGTTTTTCACTTGGTAAATTATTAATATCAATACTTAATTGACGTTTTTCATCATAAGTCATTGGTCTCGAATTTTCTTCACTTTGAAGATCGAACATTGTGGAAGCAGAAGCTGCTGCATTCTTCTTCGGTGTTCTAAAAAGAAATAAAAAGAATAGAAAAAAAGAATAAAACAAAACTCATTTTCTACTAACCGTTTAACTCCTGTTGCGCCAGGTGCTGGTCCACGGCGAGCTGGTTCGCCACTTTTATTTGCATTAGACTTGGCTGCGGTATTTTTTGTTGCTTTTGTTGGCTTTGTAGGACTTATCTCTACTGCACTATATGGATCCAATGATGTACTATTGAATTGACTAGTACCATTAGAATTTATTGGATTGTTTGATGTAAGTAGACTTGCAAGAGATGTTGCTGCTTTTTTTGTTGCCGCTGTTGCAGACGAAGGATTACGTGTAGCTGTTGGCGGCATAGGATTCATTGATGTGCCTTGCATTGTATTGAACATATTCGGCGATATTAATGATGAGTGCGTCGGTGATAAGCGAGGTAAACGATTCGACTCATTTGCTGTACTTGTCAAAGGTAATGACCCTGAAGTACCATCTTTGGTTCTGTGCCGTTTTATTTTACGTTTGTGACGAAATGTAAGTCGATCGTTTGTTTGTTGAATTAAAAAAGCTAATGTATTACCAATGACTTTCACCTTGAATGAATCAAATTTAGAAATAGAAAACAAAACAAAAGACATTACTTGTTCTTGAAGAGTATATAATTGTTGTAGAGTATTTTCTCGACTATTATCAATTTCATCAGAACTATCGTCGCTTGATGCGCCATCATCGGAACTTGTTATTATTGATGATGTATGTCCGCCAGCACTACTATTATGTTTCGATGAATGACGTTTACGTTTACGTGCTGTTGATGATATTAAACCATTATTACGTATATTCGACAGTGATGGATCAATATCTAAATGTGTTGTCGATGATTCTTCGGGTACTTTTGCAAATTTATCTTCAAACATTTGCTAAAAGATGTAAATGAAATTGCAAATGGAAAACGAAGGCTTCATTTTATTTGTCAACCATTTTACCTCAACTTTTTTACACATAGCAACAACATCTGTTTGTGGTCCATTGTAAAGATAACAATTGCTGAATATAAGACGTACATCGGTAGCGAATTCATCTGCATTAGCATATTCGCGACTTTCAAGTTTTCTCTTTAAGAATAATAAAACAAAATTAATATGAAAAAAGAAAAACTCGTTTAGATTTTATTCGTACCTTGACTGTACCAAGATCCATTGGTTTTTTTATAATTAGATAATAATCCGATAGATTCAAATTTTTAACATCGACAGGTTTAGCAAATGGCCAAACGAATGCCTGAGGAGAAACGAAATTTTTTTATTCAGACGAAGAAAAAATTTGGGTATTTTTGATTTTACCATATTTCTCTTATTTAATAAGTCCTTGACAATGTGTAGACAAAATTTTAACTGTTCTGTCATACGATTTTTCGGTCGTTTTGTCGATGGCTAAAAATAGAAATTTATTTTTAATCGAACAAGAATAATAGTTTTACATCATTTGACAAGCCAGTATCATATTTAGTACGTTTTGGTGCACCAATGGAGCCACCTGTACGTTTGACAATTGAATCATCATCCAAATCATTTTTTCGTTTTAAATTCTTTTTAGTTAAATTTAGAAATGAATCTTAGCGAAGAAAAATGTTTATTGAGTAAAACATACTGTTATTGATGGATCAAGATTTGAGAACGATGTTGGATTAAAAGATATCGATGATTGTTCTCCAGATAATTGTGGAGACATCGATTGACTATTTTGATCAGTATGATTCAAGTTATTGTTCAATGGAGAGAACGGTGATGTTATAGCATTAGAAATGGTTGTTGATGACGTTAGATTTCGAGATAATACATTAGTAACATTTGCAAGAGAATTATTTACAGTACGTGCCGATGGCGAGGGCGCTAAATTAAATAAATAAATTTCAATAAACTAGAATCGATAATAGATTTTTTTAGAGAACGGGAATATACTTTTTACTCTATTTTTTTTCTCCAACTCGAAAATTTAAGATATTAAAATTGTGTCAGTCATAATTTTCTATCCTTTAACTTAACCGTCAGTGTTATCAGCACACATGCTAACACAAGATTCTTATCACAAATTTGATTACTATGATATCAGCGGAGGAACCAATGAATATTGAGAATTGTTTCTACTATCATTTCATAAACATAGAAAACTTTTCCCTAGAGAATAAAATTGTTACTATCACTATGGTATGGATCACTTTAATAAAACAATTTTCAATAAATCTCGATTACAACACAAGTACTTCGTAATCTTCATTAAGGACGATAAATAGGATTCAACTTAAAACAAAACAAATTAAATCTTTTCAACTTACATGGTGAATTAATAGGTTCACTTGCAGTTGATGGTGAAGGAGCAGCAACTGCAAAGTTTCCGTCAGTAATAGTTTTGGATGCAGATGGTTTCGATGCTTGAGGTACGATTTCGATTTCCTAAAATCAATCACAGCAATTAAAATCAATATTAAAAAATTCATTAAATCTCCTACATCTGACGGCATTTCGGCTAATTTTTCGTAAAATATTTTTTCGAGTGTTGCTCCCATGACTACAACATCCTAAAAAATCATTCTTGTTCGGTTAATTTTTTTATTAACAATTTTTATTTTTAGCAGTACTTCGCCTGGTTTGTTATATAAGTAACAATTAGAAAACATCATATTTATGTCAGTAATACATTCTTTAACACTATAATAATAATTTGTCTCAAGTCGTTTCTTAACTGTTCCGAGATCCATTGGATATCGAACAATTTTATGATAATTCTATAACGAGAAAAAAAAGGTGTCTATCGATATTGATGTTCGAAACCGAGCTATAATTATATACCGGTATCTTAAGTTTTATTGGATTAACAGGTTTTTGGAAAGGCCATGAAAACTCATGTTTCAGTAGAAATTTCAATATGACTTTCGACATATATTGTAATTGATTAGTTTGACGACCACGCTTTGCGGCGGGTACATGTGGTAATTTTAATGGATACGTGCTTGTCGTCTGTATACGTACAAAGCCAATGGTTAGATTAGAAAAAAACGAACAATGCAAATGATGAATGACAAGCTCACCTTCATAATCAATTTTTTTTATGAGAAGAAAATTAACATGAATAAGACGATAAGAACAAATGACAATTGTCCGGCTTTATCTAGAAGAAAATTTCGATTTTTGAGTAATCTTTTTGTATGAAAGAGAAAGAAAATACTTCGCTGAAAATGTTAAGATGATTCAGCGATAGAGAGAATGAATGACAGGAGTGTGTAAATATGTGATTGAAAGAAAAAAAACAAATTATTTGAAACAATAAACGACCGCCATGCTGATTCTTTTGTATATTAACCTCCATATGTAAATTGATGGTTAAAAGTGCATTGATGTGTCAGTTCATGCGACGTTGTTCTCGTGATCCAAACAAACAACATATTTTCTGTGTTAATTTGATTGAATTATATTATTTAGCGATGACAGATAGATAAATAAGTATTTCATATCATCACAACATATTTGAAATATATATATAGATGTATAGATGTCGCATTTAAACAGATATTTTATATATATACGTTAGATTCCACTGTATGTATCGTATATACAAGTAGTAAGCTTGTTATTTTGACTTTCACGTTTTCTATTTTTCATTGACAAAAAAACGAGTTCAAAATGAATTTCATGTGGTAATTCAACGGAATGAGTCTGACACTCAGAAATAGTCTCTCTATCGCTCACAAAAAAACCTTCGGAGTTATCCTAGCCAGACGTAAAAATTTATCATACTTTCATTGCAATCCACTCTTTTCTGGTCGCTTTATCATCGTAGACAACGCCGATGTTGTATCGGTGATTGTAATTGTCATATTTTGTTTTGCGCTGTATTTTACGTGAAGTTAGGAAATGTATTCGTTGAACTGAGAACTCAGCTCATTGATTATGCTTCATGAATACAAAAGAAGGAAATTTTATATTCTTTTTTCATGCAGATTATATAGAAATGTGAATTGCACATATAAACGCGAAGAAATCTGTGGCATGCGAACTCTAGTCACGCATGTCTATTTCAACAAGTCTCTGAGTTTGTTGTGATAGTTTCTAAGAACAACTATTTATTTACTATGTTGGAATGAGCACACATGCCTGAATTATCATAAATCATTTGTGTGACTATAAATTGTACAGCTTACTACCTGATCATCAATGACAATAGTAAATACGCACGAGGAAATAGTACTAGTTTTCAGAACTTCTGCAAATTTAGAATGTTTTTTTTCCATTAGAAAAATTATTATTGGTATTCTCATGGATTTTAAAATTCATCTTTTTAAAACAGTAGAGAAGTTCTAGTTAATTTAATTATATCTATAGTTCTATTCAATGGCAGCAAAAATCAATATAACTACGTGATGATTTGATACGCATTGTTAAACACGTTCGATTCAGTATTTTAATTGTCAAGCATGAAATTAACTATTTTAACTACATAATTCTAAATGTAATCAGATATAAACTTCTATCATTGACAAACAAATAGAACTTAAATTATTTTAATGACTTGTTGTTCGAAATACTTCGATTTTAGACTTAGTTTTTATTCATTAACTATTCTGTATATTACCGATATCTATAACACATCGAAAGCACCATAGTCACCACAATAATCCTCTCATTGGTATGAAAAGTAAACTAATCAAAAAAATTCAAAACGTTTTTCTCTGTTTTGTTCTTCCTTGTAGCAAAAAAGGTTCCAAGTTATAAAACAAAAAGTCGCTTTATAAATTCTTGCTCAAATTCATTGAAATTCCATAGAAATCATTATTTTTAGATCCGAATTTAACCATGTTACCTATTATAAGCGATGAACATCCGTTTAACTCCTACAAATTTCAAGATTCCAATGACTTTGTTATTGTAAATTTTTATGCAAAAGGTGCTATTGAACAAAAAGATTTCGAGGTTCTTACTGACATTGATTCTCTTGAGGTTTCCACGCCAGGTATAAAAGAAAAAAAGAAAATGAATAACTGAATCTTATCAAAAATATTTCTGTATAATCATTGTTCTAGCTGGTGAAAAATGGAGTTTTCAATTATATGAACATGTTTACTCTGATAGAACTGAAATGAAAATTGATATAAATGAAACTAGAACACAAACAACACTAGAATTTCGTTTATATAAACAACAGATACATACAGTATGGCCACAACTTTATAGTCTTCACACAGTTCCAATTACACCTAAAAAAAATGATCTAAATAAAGATCCAAATGATCGACAAATAAATTCTAATATGGAGCAAGAAGAAGAGCCTATTGAATTGTCTTTAAAGAACATAAAAACTGAATTTATGGAAACGAATTTTAATACAGCTGTATTGAGCATTTATGTGAAACAAGTATCTAGATTACAACTACAATTTAATGAAACTAACTTTACGGCTATATTTAAATCAGAGTTCGAAACATTCTACGAATTCACGTACAAATTGTTTTTCTATATTTATGTTTTTTAGTGACGAAGAATTTCTGCAACTTCATTCAATACCAGCTGAAAGACTAATTAAATTGTTTGTTCGTGTGAAAGAACGTATTAAACCTGATGAATGTTTTTCACGGAATACAGCAATGGTCATCGAAATTAAACTTGTTAAAGAAAATCAGAATGGCATTAGATGGAATCAATTAGGACCGAATGAATATTCGGACGCTCAGCCAATAACAGGTTCCACATTATTATCATTAGCGAATTCAGGTGATCTAGCATCTACCCAAGCAGAAAAACTTTTAAGAAAACGCGTTTACACACTCGATCGGGAACCGCGATTGTGAGTCAGTAACGGAACNTTAAACGCTCAGAATTGGAGTTTTCACGCTCTGAAAGTGAGAATTCTGCGTAAAAAACGCGTTTCTTGCGTTTCGCTACTGAGCGTTAATGACTCACAATCGCGATTCCCGATTGAGTGTGTAAACGCGTTTTTCCAAAAGTTTGTCTGCTCGGGTATCAGAAAGGTGACACAAAGCACCTCTGCGGGAAAATTTTAGTTGAAAGTGAAACGATCGCATTCGTTTTGACTAGAACGAAAATGAAATAAGTAGTAAAAAATTCCAGTAATATTGTAAGCTAAAAGAGAATTAGATAATATCGAAGTGATAATCTCTAAACATCAACAAGAAACGAAAGATAATTCATTGAGACAAAATATCTAAAAAGTCACTTTAAAATTCTAACCGAAGCATTTTAAACTACTCTGATATACTGATTTTGGACAGATAAATCTCATCCGTGAGAATGCTGTGACTAGCGAGCAAAACATTTGATAATATTAATCAACAATTGTTGATCTCGATTTTCACTTATTAGTTGATTTCATGGTCTTACGAATATTTTACAAGATTCAGTCAATTAAACTTCAATTATAATCGAGTATGTCTGAACGATCGTGAGGTTCATTTATAAAAGAAAAATTGTACGGCGAATTTTTCCTATACTATTTCTTTTTGTAATAAAAAATCTACCGAGATCAACACAAGTACAACGAGCAGATGTTCACATGCTAAAATATTTACCAATCGACACTATGCACGCTGTATATTTTTCACGAAATACATTTTTGTTGTTTTCAGAGTTTTTTGGAGCAAGCTCGTACACCAACCGATCGGTAAAACAGATTCTATTTTGATTCTTATATTTGTTTTTGTATTTTAGCCAGAAATACATTCTTCTCGGTCATTATTGCATTTGAAAGATAATATAAGCCGACCCACTATGTCACTATCACTACCACCGTCAATTGGCTATACGGGTATTTACAATCCTGCCAATTCATGCTTCATGAATGCTGCTGTTCAATGTTTATCAAATACACGTGAACTACGAGATTATTTTTTACGTGAGTAATTTATCTTTTTTTCGCTTTTTTATGAGATTTAGATTATTTTCTCTTTTATGTAAATAGACTCATACCATTCTCTTGAGATAAATCAAGTAAATCCACTTGGTATGAAAGGTGCAATGGCTGAAGAATTCGGTAAAATAATTCAAGAGCTATGGTGCGGAAACTATAGTTATATAATTGCAAATCAACTACGTGTTCGTCGAATTCGATTGCTTTTCTATAATATATGTTTCAATCATTTTAGGATTATGCAGCTAAAAGACATCAAGAATTTGTCGGTAATGGACAACATGATGCGCAAGAATTATTAACAATTTTACTGGATGCTATTCATGAAGTAAGAATTTACACCGGAAATATCGAATTTAAACATTTGTTTTTTTACTCTTTGAGGATCTTAATCGAGTGATTAGTAAACCTCTTGTGCCACCAATAGAAGATGAAAATCGACCAGACGAGGTAAATATATGTATATATAGCTAAAAAAGAATTGTAATATTTTATCTTATTAATGATAAATTGATTAAGAATAGTAGCGATCTTCGATGATGCTTAGATTTCACTGCTGGATCTAATTTATAATCATTGTAGAATATTCGTAGAATCCATGTTTTTATATGTAAATAGGTTATTGCTGATGAATATTGGCGTGGTTATTTAAGTCGTAATGATTCTATTATTGTTCAATTATTTACTGGACAATTTAAATCGAAAACGAAATGTCCACAATGTCATAAAGTTTGTCAAAGAAAACAATTAAAATTTTCAAAAAAACCCATTTCCTTGAAATTTCCTTTAGGAATCGGTTACATTCGATCCATTTACATCGATCTCTGTACCATTACCAAAATATGTATCAGTGGATACAATTGTTATATTTCAAAATATTGAAAAGCCACCAACTAAAGTTTGCTTTATTCTGTTAAAAAGCAAATTTCATTATAAACTCTAACTAATTTAGTATCGTGTTGTTATGTCTTCCGATGGTTCGATCGGAGATTTAAAACGACGTGTATCAAGTAAATGTGGTTTACCAATTACTAAAGTTGTTTGATAAATCTCTATTCTTTTTCTTTGTGACAAATCGAATATGTATTTAGATGTTAGCATATAAAATGCAAAATAATCATTCGATAGAATTTCTTAAAGATACGGACCAAGTTCCAACAAACAACTATTCATGGAATAGTTTTGATATGACATGCATGTGAGTTCATTTTTTTTGTTTCGTTGAGAAATGCACTGGCTGTTTTCGTATCTCATGGTTATAATATTATTCTTGTAGAACTGAAACGTTGACAAGTGCTGAATGTAATGATGAGAAAATGATTTCGTTAACATTTTATCAACGCGTCTTTAAAGCACCTGATTATATATCGTCATGTGGTTATTGCCAAGCACCACCGAAACCGGATAGTTCACCGGTTTTTTGTAATCATTGTTATCGAGTAGCGTATTGTGATGAGTGAGTTGATTATTTTATGTTTCGCTACATTGATTGTTATTTTAAATAGAGACTGTCTAAAATTTAATGAAAACGATCATAAAGATTTTTGTGAGTTTCGTGCGTCGGACAATTATGAAACTGTGGGTCTTCCATTCATTGTTTCATTACCGGAATCGAAATTAACATGTAAAAATGTATTTGAACAAATAAATATTAATGCTAAGTAAGTTATAAAATAAAATGATTTAAAGTACAAGTATTTCTCCTCTTTTTTTTTCTTCTAAAGACGAAGTGTAGAAGTTGATATCGAACATTCAAAATCAATTCGACGATCATCTGTATTCAATAATGGTTTTAGTTGTAACGATGATGAGGATGATGATGATGATGATGATAGGTAAATTAAATTGATCTTTATTTAGTAGGCTTTCATTTCAAATACCGCTGCGCTCTCCATATTAGAAGATCCCCTTTAATTAATTAATTTTTTGCTAATTACGAACTTTAATTAGCATTTTCCCATCGAAATATGCCTGATTCTTAGCATTTTAAGCTGAAAATATTAAGAGAACGTGTTCACAATTATAATGACACCCTTAAAATCCTGAAAATTGTCGTAGTTTTCTGAAAAACCTTTTCAATTAAATATTAGGAAAAAATGCGGTTCTTAATACAAGACCCGCCAGGAAAATTTTTACGCTGGAACATAATAGAAGACTCGGGGTCTTGTATTGTGGGGGGGAGAGTTCAGAAGCCCTATAAAAACAAAAATATCTTTATGCAAACAAGTGTGTATTTCTAGAAGAAAAAAATTGACTTCTTTTTCTATCGCATTAATTCATCATTGAGGATCGAATATGCGACTCAAATGTTCTTGATTTCTCAAGTTATTTTCATAACAATGAGATGCATCTTGAAGTAATGCTTGCCATAAAAACGAGGTTGGACACCAGCTGTATAACAAAAAAAAACGAATAAATGGCTCCTGGTGTGACAGAAGTCCTTGATAACGAAACAATAGTAAGCTTAAGTTATTAAGAAATGAATTTTAAACACAGATTTGATCTTCTATTGAGGATTTTATTTTTCCGAAGGGTACAAATGTAGATAGACTATCGATTACATAGTAGATATGACAGCATTATCGATTGTTCTTGATGAAAATATCTTTCAATTTTAGCTTTAGTGATATTGAAAATACCGATTGGACAACAATAAAAAGTCGACTTTCAACATCTGATTCATGGTCTATAGTTCGTATCGGTGATTATTTTGTTAAAAAGAATACAAACAAAAAGAGTTCAAAACAAAAAATTGACGCAAGAGAAAATATTGTTGATGATACATCAACAAATAATAATAATAATAATGAGCAAGAGCCAATGGTTACAAGCCATGATAATGTTAGTAACACGGAGAATTTTGATATGCTTGATGATATATGTACTCCTCCTCAACCATTATATCGTATAATGCCTCAAACAACGAATGATATGAAGAATAATTTTCAGTCAATTATTGAGCCTGGTTAGTGAATGATTAATTAAGCGAACAATGAAATAAAATCTTCTTTTTGTTTTTTCTTTGCTATATTAGGTGATGATGCAGAGAAAATTTTACGTTCTCATACTTCGTTTTCCATTGATTGGTTTACAGAAAATAAAAGAGAATCAGCATTTCGTGTAACATCATCCATGCATCGTAGTGGAATAAACGGCCTGGTTGACGATGAGAGTGTTTCTAATGCATTTTCTAGAGGTTTTTCGGGAAAATTTCCTTTTTCTTATAACTAAAGAATTTTCGTTTTTGAAGATCAAGATGTAACACTTCAACAATGTCTTCAACTATTTATTGAACCTGAAGTTCTAGGGCCTGATGATAAATGGTATTGTCCACATTGTAAAGAACATATTCAAGCTGAAAAGAAAATGTCCGTTTGGCGTTTACCACCAATATTAATCATACATCTCAAGCGATTCAAATATAGTCATTGTTCTTCATTAGGTTATATGTCAAGTTCCCGCGAAAAAATTGATACAACAATTAAATTTCCAATTCGGTACGTTCAATGGAAACAAAAAGAGAGAAAAACTCTAAAATCTATCTTTTTAGTGATCTTAATATGGCGCCATATTGTTCATCAATATCTGCAGACAATCAGCAGCATGAAGCTTTATCGCGATTTCGTTATGATCTTTATGGAGTTATAAATCATTGCGGTTCGGCTTGGTTTGGCCATTATACATCTAATGCAAGACTTTTGGCATTTAATGATTCAGCAAAAACTGAAATTGGTAAACAATAATAAATATTTCGAAAATGAAAGAACACTATTTTCATATAGGTTGGCGTCTTTTTAATGATCAATCTGTGTCATCGTTTGCAAACGACAAAGATCTTATTCGATCCGATGCTTATGTTCTTTTTTACAGACATCGTAATTTGCCAGTTCAATTTACTTTACAAGAACAATTACAACGTGCTTTATCTGAATCACTCGCTACTTAGAAAAACAAAACAAAAAAACTTTCCATCACAACCAATGTTTTATATAGGCGTTAATATATGAATAATCTTTCGTTTCATTCTTTCTACTCAAGATTTTGAACTAACTGTGATTTTTTTGTATTTGTTTATTTTTGATATCAAAATAACTTGCGTGTGTTTTACTTCCATTTATATTTTCGTTTGTAAAAAAAAAAACATTGTAAACTTACCAAGAAAAACAAAATATTATTTTCTTGACAATTCTCTTTGTTAAAAGTAAGCGAAGGTAAATTATTCTATTTAGACTATTTTAAGCTAACTGAAACCACTATTAAAAGAAAGCAAGAAAAAACGTGCCTCATTTTATTTACTAAATCTTTTTAAAGAAAATAAATAATAACCGCATTTATTTTCTCTTAACAATGAATCATGCCATCTGTGGTGATTGATATTAGCATTGTTTTAATATTCACGATACATCTGTTGATCTGTATAATAAGAAACAAACTCCATGAAGTGAAACATATTGTTCTCGAAAAATCTCAAACCTATTAAAAATGATGAATTATAGAAATGTTATGATTATGTCACGCTAGAAAACGAAAAAAACAGAAAAATAGACATACATGTCATCGTTTAATGATATTTTTGACAAACGATAGAAAAACAAAAAATTATCAAAGAAAGAAAATGTGGGCAGAGAAAACGAAGAGAAAAATGACTCCCATTATAAAATATACTGTCTCATAGTCGAAAAAGTCATTGAGTCACTTACTTTGTTTCTACTTGTGAATGTTCGGTATACATGTGTGAAAAGAAAAAGGGTAAAAAGAGGAATTGGGCTCATTTTTCTTTTTGCCGCGATTTTACTTATTTATCTTTTCCGACGACTGACTCATATTATGACTAAGGTCTCTGCTTGAGTGAAATACAATCTCTTACTCACAATAACCAATTCGCCCACATAGTTCTCTCTGTTTTTACCCATCAATAAATATGTATGTATATTTATATCGATGCATGCATACCACCAACTATTGTCAATGAAAAACATACTTCACTGTCAACGATGTCTTCATGCACATACAGCTGATGTATGACTGCTTATGATTAATGGTATAGGATCCTATCCTAATTTAGAACATTTTACACTATTAGACATGAGAAAGATTGTATTTTTTACCATCATTCATGTAAAACAGATACATTGCATACCCCGTCGGTAAGACGTTTTCGTTAATTTCTTTTTTTTTTGACTTGTTTCTTCATTGAAAAGAAAAATGGAGAGAAAAAAGATAATATCTGATGAATAATCAATCATAAACTAGATGAGTTTGCATACCTATATAAATGTTGCTAATTGAGTAACAGGCAACCAGTGATAGAATCAATCTATCGTTACCGTCATATCATTATTATGATTTTTTATTTTTACCTATATTTATTCGATAAGAAAAAATAGGCAAGGACACATATTAAACACACGTACCTTTGCCTATATATGTGCGTTTATGCATACGCACATACATGTATATATATATATATATATGCATATGAGTGATACACAAAAAGATATTTGTCTTTTTTAGATTTCGATTTAAGAAAAAAAAAGAATATGTCATCACAACGTTATACTGAAACAAGAACAGTTCGTGAAGAAAATCGGCCTGGTAACAATGGATACGGTATACCCATAAATTCACGAATCAATGTACCCATTGAGTATTCGGCCGATAAACCTCATGAAGAACGTGTACAAGAACTTATTCGTCAACGCAATACAAATGTGCAATGGGTAAATGATTCTTCCACTGGAGCCGAAAAGTTTCGAGTTACTATAAATATAGAAGGATTTCATCAAAACGAGGTACGTCAATATTATCGATTTTACCTAGATATAATGTTTTTTTCTTACTTTAATGAATAGGTCAATATGCGTGTTGATGGTAATAAGCTTGTTGTTTATGGTGAACATATCGTGAATCAAAATCAAGTAAGTACGAGAAAATGAAAAAATAATTACTTTCATAGAATTCTTGATGTTCTTGTTTTTGCCTAAATATATTTTTTATAGAGTACAGAAAAAAAAATCATTGAAAAATCCTATGAATTACCTCGCGACATTGATATACACAGGTAAAATTATCTAAAATTAAACTCGGTCAATAGTTTTATTAAAGGTACTTCAATTTTTAGCCCACAGGTAACATATCCAACGGCGATAACAATGCAAATTGATTTTCCTTCACGTCATTCAAATGTTATCATTGATGATGGTCGTTTATCCAGGAAACTCGTATCCGATTATGATACGTCTTATCGTGCACCACTAGGATTTTCTCAAGAGAAAAGCTCAAGTGAATATACATCCACTAGAAAAATTGGCGGTGGTAGCGGTGTAGGCGGCCTTGTTAGTGGTGGTTATCCGCGAAGTCCAAGTAAAACTAATATTTGAAATATATTGATAGAAAATTAGTAAAAACAATTAATTTAGATCCACGTATTTATTCTTCCTATGAAAGATTATTTGACAATGCCACTAGTGGTCTTGATAAAACATATTCATCGGATAATTATTATTCAGCAAGAAAAAGTCAAAGTCCAGCACGTCGTGGACTTTCCGATTCGACAACCGATTCATTCAATACATCAACGAACCCAACATATACATATCGTGTAGCAGGAGATGATATTCAACCAAGAACAACATTTGCATCGACATCCCGTGGCAATAATAGTAATGTTATTGAGAAAACATTCAGTGAAACACATCGTGAAACTCATCATCGACGCTCAAGTCCAACAACAGGTGTACAGTCATCACATGAAGTTGAACATAAACGTTCGGGCAGCCCATCACTAGCCAAAACTCTCGATGACGATCGGTTCCGAACCAATTTCGCCATTGGTGGTAGCACCATAATACCATCAAAATCATTAAATGAATTTGAACGTCATCGCTCGGGCAGCACATCAATAAGCAAAACTCTCGATGACGATCGGTTTCGAACCAATCTTACCATTGGTGGTAGCAGCATAACACCACCAAAATCATTAAATGAATTTGAACGTCATCGCTCGGACAGTACATCAATAGGCAAAACTCTCGATGACGACCGGTTTCGAACCAATCTTACCATTGGTGGTGGCAACATAGCCCCACCAAGATCATTAAATGAATTTGAACGTCGTCGCTCGAACAGCGCATCAATAAGCAAAACTCTCGACGAAGATCGTTTTCGAACCAATCTTACCATTGGTGGTAGCAGCATAGCACCACCAAGATCATCACGTAATGTTGAAGTACGTGAATATTCACGACGTGTTGGCGGTGGTACAAACAATAATGATTATAATTTCATTAATGATCAACCATCATTATTTACGCAAGATTTCAATTCAGACGCATTTTATCGAAGCGCTTTTCAACCACAAGTATTTACTGATGATCGTGGCCACAATCGTGTTGAAATGAAACTTGATGTACAAAATTACGAGCCCAATGAAATAAAAGTATCAGTTAGTGGCAATGATCTTATCGTTAGAGCTGAACACAATGTTGAACGACCACCGACATCGTCAACACGATCTTCTTTTTTTAAACAAATAACCTTACCACCAAATACTGATTTAGGTAGTATATCATCACAATATCGTCCCGATGGCAAACTTCATATTACAGCAACCTTACCCAATGAAAAGCTTCCATAGGATAGAATAAAATTTTGTTTCCTTTTATCCTGTATTCATTTTTGGAATAAGTCGTTTTTTTTCCTTTAATTTAAATAAATATACATAATTTTCAATCGCTATTCAAAGACTTTACTCTTAGAAATATAAATGATCTTCTTCGTGGGTGTTCGGTTATGAGGAACAAGTTTTTTTTCCCGAGAGAAGTACACAATGCACTATAAAGATATTTTAAATAAATGGGGGTTTACTGTAACAGTCATTAAGCTTAAAATAGAACATAAATTACACGAGTAATATCGCATTAATGAAATATAAATAGAACAAATTGTCGAGTAGCTATTTGCATCAATGAATAGTGTGCCATCGTCGTTTTATGCTTTTTTTTATTTTAAACGATAAAATCATATGCTAACTAAAACGTAAAAACAAATCATACATTAATAGAAAATTAGTGTGTTGTGATTCTCTCTTTTTAATTCGAACTTAAGGTTTTGATATGAATCGATTTTTATATTTATCAAAAATGTCTGTTTCATACTTATTGATTCATAATAGTCAAACTTCTAATTTGAATTTTTACATGATTCTTGTTTTCATGTTTCTGGATCAACACTATTATCAAAATAAATTGTACAATGACATTAATAAACTACTTTTTTGATAAAAACAAAATGATCATTTACAAGAAAGTAGAGTTAAGTTGTTTGACTCTAGCTTAAAAAACGTAATTTCGAACTCCCGAACAAGAAGACCACTGGTCAAAATCAGTTTCAACATTCTTCGCTGATGCTTTAGTCCTAGTAGTTGAATACAATTATAAATTAAGGAATAACCTTGTCGCTCGAATATGCATAGATTTTCTTTAATTTATTAAGTCATAGTACTTGATTTTCATTTTATTCTTACTTTCAATCTTTGACAATTAACATATTTCTTTCGTTGCATTTTTTAGAAGAGCATCTATTAAACGAATATTTATCAGCTCTATTCTATTTAATGAAAAACAAAATCATTACGAAAGCATTCTTTATCAATAAACGAGAAGAACTAACATTTATAAATATATTTGATTAGTATTTTCCTCTATATCCATATAAATTATAATCAAATATTGAATTAAACGTCACAGACCTTAAAATTTCAATTTATAAAATCAACGAAATCTATTTGCTATAGAATTTATTTTGTACTGTAAAAGTGCAATTGAATATAACGTAATAAAATTGTACTTAAAGAAGTCAAGTACTAAATAATAGGAAATATCTACAGTTGATTGTTAAGATCTCAGCATCAATCGCCCCTGCGATATTCTTCATGTTTGTATCAATTTGGTGGCATTCTGTTTTTGAATTGTTTATCATTCAAAACTCATTGAATACATAACATATGAGAAAGTAAAATCTGGATGAAATATTCGATTAATTAATTGGTTTCAATTCTCTCCGTAAGTGCATTTACAGGTAGAGTTCGATAAATTGTTCCTGAAAAAAATGAAGCTGTGCAATGTACGACAGAAATATTTAGTTAACAGAACTTCCTTTAGAATCTGATAACGTCAATGTAAGATTGTCAACTTACAAGAAATGAATAAAACTCAGACAACAATGATTCATCAAGCTGCAATTTTTGTGAATTCCGAAAAAAAGATTCCATTTTTTACCCTTTCTTTCATCGTTAGAAAGACTTCAGCGCGCAGTAAATATTTGTTTTTCTTCTTTTACTTAAAAATATTGTTGTATACAGGTAAAGTTGTTTCAACGAGTTTTGATAAAAAAAGCGTAACAAAGAAAGTTTGATTTGGAGAAATTTGTTTAAAGACCCAATTCAATTTCAATGGTGTCAACTAGCGTTGATAATAATCCATGTTCAATATGTGGTGTCAGAAGATGGGTACTTCCATGTGACGGCTGCCATCGATTGTTTTGTTTCAAACATGTATCCGATCATCGAGCCGACCTTACAAAACAACTGGATACCATCCAAAATCAGTATGATAATTTAAAACTTATTTATAATCAACATGAGAAATATCAAGAACATCCATTATTTTCCTTTATCGATGTATGGGAGCAGGATAGTATAGCTAAAATTCAACAAACCGCTGAAAAGGCTCGCGAGGAACTCCGGAAAGTACACGATGAAGCCAACGATCAAATGAAAGCTGCGCTTAAGCATTTCAATGAACAAATGAATATTGGACGTCAAAAGGATGACTATACAGAAAGAGAACTTGATGAATGGAAAGAACAATTAATAAACATCAGAAAACAATTAGAAACCCCGTGTGATATTGAGTTAGTATCAGATAATACCGTAGCTCCAATACATATGATTAAGATCAATACGACAAAACCGAAATTATTGCTTGAAAATGCCCCAATTTCCCAAAACACGCCACCAGATGAAGAAACAAGCAATATCCAATGTCCCAATGATAACGATGAGGAAATTACTAAGCAACAATCAGCTATCATTGATGTTACTGAGATACCTGTCGTAGAATGTATAGTTCGTTTTTGTATAAATTTCTTATAGACACAATTTGTATTTATAGCTTCCGAATCGACTGAACCAAGTGCTATATCGAAAGTTGAAACTCAGATAACTCTTAATTCGTCCACTATGTCCTTGATTGAATCGGATCGTCTACTTGATCCAACTAAAAAGCACGATCTTTTGTTTCTTAAGCTTACATCTGAAATTCATTCTGAATTACCGCAAATTCTGAGTCAATTAACTGATCATCATTTACATATATTCCATCAAAGAGATGATTTTCTGAATCAATTAAAATTTTGCGAACAAGCAATAATTTTTATTGATGTTTCGGATATACCATTGGATGAACGAAACTATTTATTAGACAGTATTTCAGAAGTCGATGATGTGTATTATCTATATATTCGTGGTTGTCCATCGGATGATGATGATGAACGTTGCTATTTTTTTCGACGATATCCAAAGATAAAAGCAATGTTTGAAAACGAACAACGTCTTATGGTTCAATGGGCAATAGATACAGCAAATGAATATAAAACTATGGGTGATGTGTACCTAGAAAATGGTGATAAGGAAAATGGACGTAAATGCTTTGAGCAAGGTATTGCATTGTATAAAAGTTTATCGGTTTTTTTCAATGAAAAACGACGCATTCGATAAAATAAAAATAATACTAACTTACTAATATTAGATTTTTGAATTTTAGATAAATGTCAGTTATTAGCACTTCTCTACTTGTTCTTCTTGATCCTCAAGAGGAACATAAAAATTTCGAAATAATATTTGATTCGCATGTATTTTGTCGATTTACAAATAAAACTAAATGCTTAAAACATGTTTCATCTCGTCTTACAAATATTCGTCTCTTACATTTTTTTATACCAAAATGTGAACATCTAGTTATGGAAAACGGTCCCCATTTTTACAATACAATATATTATATTTATTGTGTTGATGGAGCAAGTATTAAGGAAATGAAACAACAATACGATTATCCGATGTTTGTTAAAGTTTTCCATGTTGAATGTTTAGCAACGTATTTACGTCAAGCAGCTATTTCGCATTTAATTGAACAAGCTGAACGTCGAAAGCATGAACCTGACGAACACGAACTTGCATTACAAGCAGCAGCTGAATTTTCCGATGCATTAGCCAATAAACTGTCCGAGTATATGATTGAAAAAACTTGTTAACCGACAAGTGATAATTAATAAATAGTATTGATATGTTAGATTTGTACGTGCAGACTATTTATATAAATGTATATGTCTGCCATTACTCTGCTAATTATTCTGCTAAATAGCCTGATGTTTTCACAAATAAAAAAAACAGTCTTTTAACGGCGTAATTTTAAGTTTTAGAAGAACAACACTCTCCAGCCTTCACGCCAAATATACGAGGAAGAAATAAAAGCATTTATTTCCCAGGCCGAACATTCCGGCCACGGGATCCCATAGAATACTCCAGGAAATATGCAGGAAAGTCACCATATCCTGCAGGAAAACACGGGAAATCGCTGGTACATGGAAGCAGTATTCCGGTCAAAAATCCAACCGAACTTTTCCGGCGGATTCCTGCCAAGTTCCGGTGCTTTCCGTCAGGAATTGATCGGAAATCACCGGAAAAAATCCGAAAATTTTCCAACCGGAATACTGCTTCCACAAAATAAACGGAACCACTCGGAACCAGCCGTTTCCAGGCCGGACTGTTCGACCTGGGTTTATGATTAGTCGTAATTTATTAAAACTAGGTATTTTTTGTTGTTGTTGCTTTACAATAATTCTGATGACTTGCTATTTTTAATTTTCTTGCCGATGAGCAACAATTCAAACACAGAATTCTTATCGATTACCGGTTGAATATTTATTCTTAGCGTGTAGCCAAATATAAATAAAGGGATTACCTTTTCTTATTCGATACCATTGAAGCTTATCATAAAATCAACTGGTTAAAGATATTTTTTTACAATGTACTTTGTCATCTCGAATCAAAATTGACCTATTTCGATTCAATCATAAAAGTTGTCTATTCCACGTTTTATTTATATTACGGAGATAGTCAATATATCATCAAGTTGGACTCACTTCTGATGATCACGCGTAAGATATGTCGCATGTGTGCTCTTCATTAGCTAAAATTCTTCGTTAATTTTCTAATTTGTGTCTTGCTCCTGGTAAATAATGGTCACTACGGAAGAACTATTAAATAAATTTGTATAAAGTACAGTATTCTACCTTTTTTCGATTGTAGTACATTGTGAACTTAATCTGATTTGAAATACTGTTTTTATTGAGCATGATGCATAGTTTACTGAGTGTTGATATTGCGGTTCTTATCAATTTCGAAACGATTTACGATGCATTTAAAAAGTACAAGAGCAATAGAGAAATCAACACTTGGTAGCTATATGAGGATTAGTAGGGAAAAAAAGCGGTTGAAAAGAAAATCAAGTTCTTTTATACAATTTTTGTCGCTTTTATTCGTCATCTTCATCGTCGTCAGGTGTTTCGTTGCTGTATAAGAAAGAAAAATGATTTGAAAGTAAACTATTTAAGAATTAGCTATGATCATGTCAATAATAGAATTCGACTTGTTAGTATCACTGTTTTGTTCATATATTAACTTTTTCTAAGTATATTAGTTTTCAAGTTTGCGCTAGATGCGAGATGATACCAGACTAGCATACTGCTAGTAAATCGTTCATTCAATGAGATATAATTCTTCAAGCGAAGAGCTTAGAATCTACAAGAACTACATTGATCATGAATCAATGGAATAGCGCTTATAAAACTTTTGTACGACTATTCGTTAAACAGCTGCAATATTAATAGTAATAATAATACATTAGATGACAGATGCATCTCATCGGTCTCTTTGTATTGAACTCAACAAAAAGCAAATAAATCAACCGTAAAACAAGAACAAATATCATCGTTATCTATTTACTTGAACCTGTAGCTGATTGTCTCGTGTATATTGTGAGTTTAGTCTCTGACTCTTTTACCTATATTTTAATGTGATGAACGAAGACAATTTTTTTTCTCGTACTTTAATTATTGAAGTGATATGAAAAACAATTGAAATTTATTCTATAATATGATTTTATATAATAATTTTAACTGAAATCTAATCTTTCTTTGTAAAAAAAAATGGAAAGTAATTTGATAAAATTTTATTGAACTAATAGTTAAAGACGTAGACCATTCTCGAATAATTCCTATAGCTGATTTCCAGACGAAAGCTTCAACCAAACTTAGGCTTAAATAATATGTATAGTTTAAAAATAAACCAATAAAAATAAAATGCTTTACTGCTGTATAATTGCTATGTGCTATCTTGGCAGAGTTAATTAAAATATTGACCGAAGAAGTATTTTTAGCGAATTCTGCAATTTTGTATAATTGTATAAGATCATGATTTGTTATATTGTAAATAATTATTTCTTGTTTCTAATGTTTTTTTTTATTTGTGTGTGCCAGAAAACTTCATTCAAGGAGTTCAAAAATGACACACACGCACAGATACCGAGAAGGGAAAAAAAGAGAAAAAACAAACAGTTGCTTGAAAGAAAAAAGAAGAGCTATAACGAAAAAGTCAGATCGAGCGAGCAAGTGAAAAAGAACATCTGTGTATACACGCGTATTAAAAAGAACAAAAAGAAAGCTTCACATTACACAATATTCTTAGTAACGTGCAGATTCTTGTTTTCCAAAAAAATACAAAATCGAAAAAGAAAAAAAAACAATCCAACGTTTTTTTTAAAGGCCATCGTACTTGTTGATAGATCATAAAAACAATCGATGACTATTGCTGCTTAGGTTGTGAGAGAAAAGGCATTTTGGACGCGATTCGATCACTCGAATCTTTCTTCCACGAATAATAATATTATTGTCTTAACCATCACTGTTATTGTAGATAGACATGAGAAGAATTAAAGCACGATTACCTGTACATATTAAAAGTATGAAATAGAAAAGAAACTTAATGCTCACGAAATAATCAACAGCACTGAAAAGAAAATCAATTTACGCATCTTTAACAGTTTCCTTTCTTTTCTCAACTAAGACGAATTGAGCATGAAGTGCATTGAAAAGAAAAAAACGGACATCTATTTTGCTAGTAAAAAATATATCAAGAGAAAAGAAAAAGAACTTTTGAATTCGTAGAAAAAAGACAAGAAAACGAAATGGGATATATCTCGAATAGTAAGCACAGATGAGAATAAGCATTGGATACAGAAATCACAGTAATTCATACTGTCTCAAGTGCGAACGCTGAATTATATCGCGACAATCATTAAATACTCGACGAATATTTTCCGTATCAACAGCGCATGTAAAATGAGAATAACACGAATGATCACTTTTGCCAACACGTGTACTAATTCGCTAAATGAAGAGGAAAAACTACTTTTTAATCCATAAAATAAATTTTTATTTTGTTAGCATACTAAAAATTCGTCACGTATGAAATATTTGGCTCGAGTTACTTCAGGATCTTCATTGGGTTCAGCTTTCTCTAAAAGAAAATCATTCATGAATATCGATTTTAAAATTAAAAAGCAACAACAACAAAGGAAGAAATAATCAGTGTGAATTAAATCAAAAACAATCACAAGCAAAACGCATTTCAAATTTTGCTTACTATATTTCGAAAAAGAACCGTCTGTGAAAAATAAAAGAAATATAATCCCTGTTAATAGATTGGTTTATCTCTATTTACCTGATTCAACATTGGAAATGACATAGTGAGCAAATTCAGGAAAGTTTTCATCAAGTCGATAACCAGCTTTTATTTTTTCTGCTAGAAGATCTTGTTTATTGAGAAATAAAATAACAGAGATTGTTTTCAACCATCTAGGAAGAGATCACTAGAAATAGATGTATGTAGATTTCTTTAATCAATTTTTACCGATTATTCCAAATATTTTTAAATAAATCAAGTGATTCTCTCAATCGATTTTGTTTTTCATCTTCGATAAGTACTAAATTAAAACCACTGCATGCTGTGACAAATATTATCGCGGTAACGTCATTAAAGCATTGAATCCATTTTCGACGTTCTTCACGTTGTCCACCAACATCAAACATACTATTCAGATATATAAGATATACTAACTATTCAAACAATGACAAATACATACTGAAAGCGCACCCGGTCAACTGTAAAAATCGTTTCATAAATACCTGATGTAAGCACACGACACCGAAGGATATCCTAAAAAATCTCATAAATATTTTTTTTGTTTACAATAATTGTATAGAAAAGATAACATATGGAAAAAAATTTCTATTACGATCTCAATTCAGGCTAACTACGCGATCTAGCTGTTGAATAGCAAAAGTCGGAAAAAATGATTGAAAGTGTAATATTCCAAGAAAAATATTTTTCTTTTCAATTCAAAATTTTAAGATCTAAATTGCGTTTCTTGACATTCCAGCAACTACTCCAACCTAGGTCAACAGATTTAATGATTCTAAATAAACAGTGAAAATAAAAATAAATCAGTAGATGTTTGCTCTTTTACAAAGTACAATCGCTTTCTGTTGATAGAGGTCACACTGGATATGATGTGTTGCAGAAGGAATGATTCACGCTTCCGTCTTCTTTTTTCTTAGTTACATTTTTGTGATCATTCTTTTAAATCTCGATGGCGTTCATTGTTTTTGCTATTCTACAGAAAGTTTACGTAGTTTTTACTTCGATTTTGAATTTATAAATGCTTACAAAACCATAATAAAAATCAGGATTCACTGAGATACTACTACTACACAAATACACAGTCGTTTTTCTATTGCTGCGCAACCTATTAGGCGCAGTTTTGACTAAAACAATCTAGACATGAAGGCACTTGAAGAATTTTTAAGAGAAAGCAAAACAACATCTGATGTATTTATAGTTGTTGTATCGCACTAGTCGAATGAATCATTCAATTTAATTGAATGATTTATGCTGTAGAATAGGATTCAATGATTCATACGTACTTGATCATTGGGCATGTAATTTGGCTTTCTGATATCATTGACACGATCGAGAAAGCTATAATATTTTATAAAGAAAGGAAAAAGTCAAAATAAAATTCGACTCAAATGAATAAACTACAGACTATTTAGCAGAATCGATCAATTGATATTCATTTGATCGAGAATAGCAATTCTGTACACCTGCATCGCGCCATAGTTTTTCTGCATGATCGAAAAATTCGGATGGATAATCGAAATCTAATTGATGTGCTGTTGTTAAGATATATGTTGCGCATATTTGATTTTCTGGACGTTCTAATCTCACTGGTGGATTTATCATATCCAGAGCACGTAAAATACTCTAGAAGAATATAAAAATTCTGTTAAAACAGAAAACAACTTCGTTAATATAATACATACAGTTAATGAATCACGAATGTTGCGTTTAATATCGGGAATTTTATCGAGCTTTTCTCTAAAAACAAAACGGAATCGTATTGTAGATAAATCAAAATCAAAATCATACTGTGTAGTGAATGGATTGTGCAAAATTTTCATTTGTTTGACAACCGTTGATTTGCCCGATTCACCGGCGCCTTTAAAAACGAAATATTCAATGAAGATTTATATATTGATAATTTAAATAATATAACAAACCTAAGAGAAGTAAACGATAAGTGGCTTTATAAACTTTTCCATCTTTTTTTAATTTTGTACTAATTTGCTTATTGATTAATTTTCGTTTTTTTTCTTCATCATTTTTCGGAGCAATGCAACTCAAGAATTTTGACATTTTTTTCTTTTCAATTAGTACGTTTGTTATTTTATTACCGTTTTCGAATGAACTATTCGTCATTTATATCCACATGTACATGGACAAACAAAATGCGCGGATTTTTTATGAATAAATATATAAAATAAGATGTTAAAATGATCTGAAATGATGGACAGAAGAAAATAAAATGATTATCAGATGATTATTCTTTCCAAGTGCACGCGACGGTACTTTATGCCCGTGAAAAACGAAATTTTATGACAAGCAGTTACGAATATTCGAAATCACTTTCATTAAACATCTATGCACTTTGACGCGATCGCAAAGATAAAAACGAGAAAGATTATTGATGAGAAAAAGTTTACAATTTTGAAATGCAAAATCAAGTTTATGTTTTTAATAGCATGATTTTTTTTCATTTACACGAAATTTATAATGAACCGAAATAATGGATGTATGGTTTGCTAACAAAATCAGCCAATCAAAATGAGAATAAAATGCGTTTTTACAGGCATTAACATAAAACATTGGTTCGTATTCGAGTTTACAATCTTCTGATAATTTTGAAACTTGATATTCGTCGGCGATATGAATCAAATACTTTCTTGTTACTTACCAGGAAATAAATGACTGGCATCTTATTCATATCAATCGTTTATAAAGTTGAAGTTTCTATACTGTATTTTCGATATTACCAAATGAACTTTCAGAGATAATATTGTAGTACTTCGGTTCATATAATAAAGCTTTTGAATAGAAAACAGAAAGCTAGAAATGATAATGGAATACTTTTAAGAATTGACTAAGAAATTTTTTCGATCTCAAACATTGTGACTTACCTGCAGAATAAAATGTGTTCGAATTTCTACTTGTTGAGAAACATATCCATGTACGCATACGGCCTTCTACGAGTATAAATTTTTTTAAGCTTAAAGCTTCACAAGAATGTAATCAGATTCCAAGCAATTCTCTTCCAAATGGCAAAAAGAAATCAAGTGAAATATCCACAAGTTGATAAGCAAAGATTAAAAATGCTATTCTAGTACGCATCATGAGTGATGGAATATCAATGATTTCAAGCAGAAAGACACTTGACGGCTGAGAACATTCTCAATATAGAAAAAGTACTGCTTCATAATTTCCCTTTGCCAATCTATCGAACATGATTGATACGAGATCATTGAGAGCGCTAAATATAGACACAGTGTCTACATCGGCTATAAAAAGATTCAACTTCAACAACGAGGTACCGTTTATGCACAGATACTGAAATTCATCGAATTTTTCTCACAAAATTCTTTTTTATGATCAAATTCTTGTCTTTTCAAAACAAATCGTCATATTATTATTCGTTTCATTCCTTAGATAACAAGCGTTGTAGTTTTGCGTCATCATGACTATGCGATTTGTGCCCAACTTCAAACAATCAGAATTTTTTTACTCGAATCATGTTATCAAATTTTAAAAAAATAATTTAAATTAATATCAACACTAGATTTAAAGAAATCACTAGATACAATTGTCTCTCTCTTTCGAAATACTTTTCACCAGAAAACAAATTCCTATTGATACTTGCAATCAATCTTCTATAGAAGAGATGTATTTATGTTTATCGGAAAGAGATGACGGGATTTTCCGTTTCTCTTCTATATTCTTTCATTATTCAGGCGACTCGCTGAACGAATCCGATTGGTTGAAAATTTCGACCAGTAGAATACTATCCGTTCCATGGTTTAACCTATTCATGCTCTTTATTCCATTTTGCTTTTTGTCTCGTTTCGTAAGTTCTAGTCATTCATGAAAATCAACTAATCTTTTTTTTTTGTTCAATTAACCAATGTCTAAATATGCTCATACGATTAATTCCTTTTGTACAAAGTCTGAAAAATGTACGAATGAAATTCGATTAGAAAATTTTGGTTTACTCCGTCGTATGTATTCAAATTATTTAACGACAGAAATTTATGAACATTGGAATTGGTCATGGTCTTATATGGTTCAACCAACATATCAAGAATCAAAATTTCGTATTGTTGTACAGTTCAATAATTTACCATTAACTCCGGGACATCTACTTGCTTTCAAAGCAATTTTATTCAGAAAAAACAGTCAGACAACAAAGTCAAGTGAATGTATTTGTTTAAAAGAACATTTATGGTTAACCGAAAATTTAAATATTCTGGAAGTATGTTCACTTGATGAACTTGATCAATTTATTTATAAAGATACTTTACGTATCGTGGTAATTGTCAGGTAAGATAGAAACTAGTTTCATTAGATGAATGTTTAAGTAGAAAATAATAATTCTCAATGAAGACACCGGACTTGCTAGCGATAATCTGAAACCGAGAGTATTTCATCGGTAAATTATAATTTATTTTTTAGACATGATTGGCTTGTTAAAGAATTACAAACTGATGAACAAATCTTATCAATTACTTCCAATGCATATTTGTCAGATAGTAAAATCGATAATTGCAATACGAAATATCTAGAAGATATGAAATCGATTGTTAATCAAATTGAAACAAGTGATATCACAATACGATGCCGTAACCAAACCTATAAATGTCATCGTGTTATATTATCAGCACGTTCATCATACTTTCATTCATTGTTCAATTCAAACTTTAGTGAAAAATTTCAAAATGAAATCGATCTTAGTTCGTTTCTTACCAATGACAATGATTTCGATCTTCTACATTCATATGTATATAAAGCTGAAATAAATTTAACATTAGATAATATATTGCAATATATTCAATTAAGTGATAAATTTCTTTTGGATGATTTATACGAATTATGTGAACAATTCTTATTGAATGATAATCATATAAATGAAAGCAATGTTTGGAATATTCTTGATATTTATAATACAATAGGACGAAAAATATCTTTAAATATACAAGAGAAATGTTTTCATGTACTAAAAAATAATCGTCATTTAATTAATGAAGAATGTCATGATTTACTTAAACGACATCCTCATTTATCTATTGAACTTGTAAAATATTTTGTATAGAAATTCTATTCTATTTTTGCTTGTTTCAGATTTAATCATAAAATAATCAATGTCGGACGATGATGGCATGGACGGGAATGAAGATTTTGATCTTGACTATGAAAATACAGACGAAGAGCCTGATGCCGATCTTGAAAATCAATATTATAATTCGAAAGCTTTAAAAGAAGAGGACCCATTTGCTGCTATTGAAAGCTTTAAAAAAGTGTTAGCATTAGAACAGAAAAGTGGCGAAAAAGGTGATTGGGGTTTTAAAGCACTCAAACAAATGATGAAAATTTATTTTAAAATGGAAAACTATGATGAAATGTTAGCATGCTACAAAGAACTGTAAGTTATCAGTGTGTTTCAGTGAATTCTAGTGTGTAAATTAGATGAATTATTGATCTGGAATGCTTAAATATAGATAATTTTAATAGAAAAAGAACAAATCCGATTTAGACTTCAGAACGAAGTAAGTAAAGCCTATAATGAAAAGTTAACAAACTCTTTAGTAATCCTGATCTTTGCTCAGCCTAGTATTTTGTGAATGGTTTATAGTCCAAATAGGATATTTTTTTTTTATGTATTATAGAAAATGAATTGTCTTTGGTCAATAGCTACCGCCATGATTTCTTTTTACTCAAGTCTTAAAGATACTTAAGAGGTCGTGAAAATTTAGAGTTCCTTGAAGTAGATTCTCTCACACGAAAGACTGAAATCGTGTTTCACGCCGTACGTACTCTCTTATGAGTAGCACACCCTCTCACGATATATACTAATTAAATCATTATTATAATCATTAGCATTCCTATATTGATAGTGTTAAAGTGAGAGAAGTATGTGTGTACGTACAACTTGTACATTAACTCTATTTGACAAGAATGTCTTTATATTTAATAGTAACATCTATACATAGTGAGAAAAACTAGAGAGAAGAAAGAAGAGAAACAAATCCAGATCAAAGAGTATGATATGTATATAGTTTGTATGCGAGCGACATCCCTGTAACAGATAAGTACATCTTATGTTGTTGTAAATACATAATGTATGTGATTCTGGCTGATTGCTGATGGGTCGTGTTGACTGCAGTTGGTAAATATCTCGGTTTTTTCTAAAGTATTATAACTGTGATTGACAGGAACAACAGGATATTAAATAGAAAAAAAAGCTATCGAGTGTTTTCGTGTACTATATAATAAAACATTTTGAAATAGTTAAACGCAACTGTGCATCCCTCGATCTCCGTTGGGTTGATGCGAAATAAATATATTTTTCAAGTTGACTTCATATGCAGATAGTGCGCTGTCTTTCGTCTAATACTTTTAATGTCAAGCTGTGCCAACAAATAGACCCTGTTAGAAATTAGATTATGGCAATAACAATACTCCGCATATACTTTCTTGCTGAAAACAACAACTAATCAAACGGCTGTCTTAGATAATTTCTCAAAATCTTACCAAATGCCGTCTTGACATGGATTTTTAGTGATAATATGGAATAGTCTTCAAATATATTTGATATTCTCGTCGTCCATCTGATAGTGCTCAATTCTAGAAATCTTTTTTTTTCTATCAAGAATCAAAAATAACTCGGCAAATGTGCATTAGATTTGTTTAATGGATATACCGCTTGCAAATTATCATAGATATCACAGAACGAAAGAACAAAAATGCTGTTATTAAAAATGCAAATACGATAAGGAGAAAGAATTTACGAATATCAATCATGTAGCACTAAAAGAAAAGGGCATGTTTTAACACACAAAAAACTCACTCAACTATCGTGGAATGAACTAGAAATTGGACTAACAAATTCTGTACATTGAATTTCTCTATTTGAAGAAGTCTATCAAAACACATGAGAAACAAGTTTTACAAACGAGCTATTGTGAATAAAGGAGATTTGATTAGCCGAAATCATTTTCTATCATGTAGAATATTTTTCAAATTCTCAGCCAACATGTGTGAATGAAAGATTTGTTAAAAACTAATCCTTCGAAGAAAATAGAATGTCTTCAAACTATTCACGTCATGATGTTGAAGTCTTTCGTGGAATGATTGCACTTCACTCAAGATAAGACGACATTCGAGTATCTATTTTTGATAGAATCTAAAATTTACAGCCCAGTTTTTTTTTCGCTTGCTGGAATATGTATTTAAAACAGATTCTATTCATTAGGTTAACTTATATAAAATCGGCTGTAACACGAAATGTCAGTGAAAAATCCATAAATTCAATTCTTGATTACATATCAACATCTAAACAAATGGATTTATTACAGAACTTCTATGAAACAACACTAGGTGCATTGAAAGAAACTAAAAACGAACGTCTATGGTTTAAAACAAATTTAAAATTAGGCAAGTTATATGAAGAACAACAAGATTATGTTAAATTACAGAAAATTCTCAAAGAATTACATAAATCATGTCAAACATCAGAAGGTAAAAACAAAGGAGAAAATATTATTTCACTGATTTGGTTTTTGTTAAGGTATTGACGATCAACGTAAAGGTACTCAATTACTAGAAGTATATGCATTAGAAATTCAAATGCACACATTACAAAAGAATACTAAAAAACTGAAACAATTATATGAACTATCATTACATATTAAAGCAGCAATTCCACATCCACTCATCATGGGTCTGTCTTTTATTTCAATTGAACATACAAGACTGATAATAATGATACATTCTCGTTTTAGGCGTTATAAGAGAATGTGGTGGGAAAATGCATTTGCGCGAACAAGAATATGAACGAGCTCATATAGATTTTTTCGAAGCATTTAAGAGCTATGACGAATCTGGTTCGCCACGTCGTACAACATGTTTGAAATATCTTGTTCTTGCTAATATGCTTATGCGTTCAACCATAAATCCATTTGATTCTCAAGAAGCCAAGCCATATAAAACTGATCCAGAAATTCAAGCAATGACAAATCTCGTTGGTGCTTATCAAAATAATGATATTAAAGAATTTGAAACAATTTTGCGCACGAACCGCCAGGCCATTATGGATGATCAATTTATTCGTGAACATATCGAAATACTTTTACGAACAATACGTACTAAAGTTCTTGTGAAATTAATAAAGCCATATACAAAAATTCGTATTGAATTTATTGCAAAAGAATTAAATATACCTATGGATGATGTTGAAAGTTTATTAATATCGTGTATACTCGATCAAACAATAACGGGCAAAATCGATCAAGTGAATCATGTACTCGAACTTGATCAACAGCAAAATATTCAAGGTTTACATCGTTATGCGGCTATATCAAAAGTATCGACACAGTTACAAAGTGTCCAACATGCTATTCTACAAAGATTTAATTAAATTAAGGCGTACTCGATTTCTGTTTTTTTTTTTGAATGCATATATAATATATTTTTAACGACAAGAAATAAAAGAAGACTTGTTGGTAAAATAGTCGTCTCTTGTTTTCTTCCATCAGAAATTCTATTCCAAGAGTTCCATAGAATATCAGCGTTTTTTTCTTTCTGTTCTGCGCCTAGCGCAGCTAAGTTTTTTTTTATGGAGAAAAGGCAATAACGAGACAAAAAATATCTTTTTTTCCTTCCACAACAACATTCAGTCACTATTTATTCTACGCATCCCATAGTCAAGTTCGACAACCATTGTCGACTATTACATACAAAGCACAAAAGCAAACCAAACCGAGAGGTGAGATTATACACTATTTTTTCGTATAAATTCATCTGTTTGAACTTCATTTTCAACTCCGATTGTTAATAGTAGAAATCTTTAGAGTATTGCGCTTGAGGTTATTTATTTACTTTTTAGTTCCTGTGATAAATGAGTTTTTGGTATTGATTTTATTTTATTTTATTTATTTTCTGATATTCACTACTTCTATAAGAATTGTACGCGCGTGTGTGCTCAAGTAGACGAGCATTTTCTTTTTCTGGCCTATTATAGGTTAGCCTTCATGCGGACGTTTGTTCATTATTTATTTCGTGATCATTAAATAATCCCACTAAATATATATATATATACATAGTCATCTATGTAAATTTTGTATCGCCTTATTAACAACATGTGATGTTGTACTCAGATATTTTTTCTTTTTGAACATGTCCTTTTGTCGTTTTATTTCACCATTAAAACAAAAGTATAGATTGTGTGAATACAATTAGATGTATTTATTCTTAGACGTCGAAACCAAAGGAGAGAAAGAGGAAAAAAATAGAGCGAACGAAAGAAGAGAATAGAAGGAATGTTATCGTAGTCATCTCGGCAGTACCTCACTTTATCACCATTCACCTCGCAAATCAGTTACGCTCGTTATATTCAATTTATAATACGCATTAAAATATACACGATAATGAACGGTCACTCTACGAAAAAACTGCAAAAACCGGAGACTCGAATGTCTTTACACTCACATCTTCATGATTTACACCATTCTATGAAGGTTAGAAAAGTTTCATTTTTTTCCTTTCGTTTCGTTTTTCCTATATGCACTTAAATACAGAAAAGAAGGCGTGCAGCTGTGACGATGATACTGTTGTTGTTGTTGTTGTTGTTGTTATTTTTCTTTTATTGATAATGAGCTTATTGACCAAAATTATTCACTTCTCTAGATTTCAATTTAAAAAGAATAATTTTTCCTTTGTTCTCTTTATTTGTAACATTTCTGTAAATAATGAGTATGAAACGACCTAATGAAAGTGGAAGTCTTGTACCTATTGGTCCACAAGCACCATATAAACAAGCTCGAACAAATGAAAATAACAATCAACAATTAGTTTCAACTCAACCACGTACATCAAAATTAGCAGCACCGATTATGTTATTACAAGGACATGAAGGCGAAATATTTTCTTGTAAATTTCATGCCGACGGTGAAATTATGGCGTCGGCTGGGTTTGATAGAAAGATTTTTCTATGGAATGTTTATGATCAATGTTACAATTGGTATGTTTTAACTGGGCATGGTGGTGCTATTATGGAATTACAATGGAGTCCAGATGGCAGTGAGCTTGCTTCATGTTCTACAGGTTTGTAAAAGAAACGAAGAATAATAAATATTTTTTTAATCATTTGTGTTTATTTAGATAAATTAGCCTATATATGGGACATAACCACTTGTCAGCGTGTCAAGAAATTGAAAGGTCATCAATCATTGGTTAATTCCATAGGTTATTCGCGTATAGGTAAAGATATGCTTTGTACTGGTTCGGATGACGGCACAGTAAAAGTATGGGATAGACGTAAACGTGGCGAAGTTATGACATTTGAATCAACATATCAAGTTTTAACATGTTGTTTTAATGCCTCATCAGATGCAGTTTTTTCCGGTGGAATAGATAATACAATAAAAATGTGGGATTTACGTAAACAAGAAGTATCGTTACGCCTGGATGGGCATCTTGATAGTCCAACAGGTCTTGAATTAAGTTACGATGGATCTTATTTGGCATCGAATTCCATGGATTCAACAATACGTATTTGGGATATACGTCCATATTTTAATGGTGTTGATCGATGTATTAAATTATTTCAAGGGCATCAACATAATTTTGAAAAAAATCTCTTACGGGTTTCTTGGTCACCCGACGGAAAACGCATATCATGCGGTAGCGCTGATAAACATGTTTATATTTGGGATATAGCAACAAGAAAAATACTTTATCGTTTGCCAGGTCATCTTGGCAGTGTTAATGAAGTCGATTTCCATCCAGTTGAACCCATTATTGCTTCGTGTTCATCAGATAAAACAGTTTTTCTTGGGGAAATTGAACCCTAAGAAAAGAATTCATAAGAAATGTTTGTTTTTCTCTTAGACAATTTCTAGTCTGTACATGGATGAAAACTGTACAGATTAGCTGATTTTTGTCTCTTTATTGTTGTTATTTGTCTTTGGTGTGTCTGTTTGTCTGTACTATCGTATAGAAAATACAATTGTCCAACGAATGTATACGTTTGTGTAATAAGAGATAAGATAATTTCTTTTCTATTTTTGCAGCAGAAAACTAAGGTTAAGTGCAAGATTAACAATCTCATATAGAGTCAAACAAGAAATCTTTCCCATTAAGAAAAAAATACTTTGTTTCGTTTAGATGAGCATCCGCGGCAAACTCAAGGAAGAACTTAAACAAAGTGATCCAAATGTAAAAGGACTTTATCAACATCAATCATTTGCTGAAACAGCTGTAAATGGTCTTGAACAACGTACATTACTCGATATTGAATCGGAACCGTAAATATAAAATGTTTTGTTTTTGTTTTCATTAATCAGTTTCATCTTTTCAACATCTAGATGGAATACACGTCATACGAGTATTATTTGTACCTTAGGTAAATTCTTTTCAAAATCTGTTACAATGAACGATATATATATATACAGCTATTTAATTATTTATATTTCTAGGTCCTGCATCACAAAGTGTAGAAATGCTTTCGAAAATGATTAGTGCAGGAATGAATATAGCTCGTCTGAATTTTTCTCATGGAAGTCATGAAGTAAATAAACAATAGAATTTATTGATTTTACAATTATTTCGATTTAGTATCATCAACAAAGTATTGATAATGTTCGTAAAGCCGAAAAATTAACAGGCGTCGAAGAAAACTTTCGACCCATTGCAATTGCACTTGATACCAAAGGTCCAGAAATTCGAACAGGTGTTTTAGCTGCTGTAAGATTTCTATAGCATTTCTTGAGAAATTTAAGAAAAAACGAAATCTTTTTTTCAAGGGAGTTAACAGTGAAGTTGATTTAAAAAATGGAGCGACTATTTGTTTGACCACGGATCCACAATATGCGAATAAATCAACAGATGAACATTTATATGTCGATTACATGAATATCATCAATGTTGTTAAGCCAGGCAATCGTGTCTTTATTGACGATGGCCTTCTTTCATTACTTGTCACAGAAGTTGGTTAGTAGAAAATGTAATTTTTTTATGTTCGTCTTTGAATATTTTTTTTCGTTTCTAGGAGATAATTATCTTACATGTGAAGTTGAAAATGGTGGTGCATTAGGCAGTCGTAAAGGTGTTAATCTACCAGGTGTAGCAATTGATTTACCTCCTCTATCAGAAAAAGATATAGACGATCTTCACTTTGCTTTGAAGAATGATGTAAGAAACAATTTTGAATTTTAACTTAATCGCCTTGTTTTGGTTGTTTAGGTTGATATGATTTTTGCAAGTTTTATTCGTCATGCAGACGGTATTCGAGTCATTCGAGAAATACTCGGTGAAAAAGGAAAACACATTAGAATAATTGCAAAGATTGAAAATCAACAAGGCATTCACAAGTATAAATAAATAGCGAAAGACGAAATGAAATAATTCATTAAAAAAAAATTCTTTTAAGTTTTGATTCGATTCTTGAAGCAGCTGATGGTGTTATGGTTGCACGTGGTGACATGGGCATTGAAATTGCTCCACAAAAAGTTTTCGTCGCACAAAAAATGATGATCGCTAAATGCAATTTAGCTGGTAAACCTGTCATTTGTGCTACACAAGTATAAATATTGAATTCACCAGAAGAAAAGCAAAAAAAGAATAATTTATTTTTCTTCATTAAGATGTTAGAGAGTATGACGAAAAATCCTCGTCCAACTCGTGCTGAAGTCAGTGATGTAGCCAATGCCGTTCTGGACAATGCCGATTGTGTTATGTTATCCGGTGAAACCGCAAAAGGCAAATATCCTTTACAATGCATTCAATTAATGCACCAAGTTTGTAGATAAATAAAAATGAATGAGTTAGTATATGATTTTATGAATTAAATTAAGATCGCTCGAGAAGCTGAAGCTTGTTTATTTCATCGAGAACTTTTTAGTAATCTTAGCTATTTTACTAAGCCACCATTGGTAAATATAGAATCATTGTTTAATTTCGATTTCTAAAGAATTTTGATGATTTTTTTAAGGATCAAATGCAATCAGCAGCAATTGCTGCTGTTGAAGCAGCTTTTCGAAGTTATGCTTCGCTTATTGTTGTTCTTACACATTCTGGAAAGTAAGTTGAAAAGTTCTTGTTCAGGACATTTTTGGGAACGCAAATCGTTGTTTTTCTCCAATAGATCCGCTGAATTAATAGCACAATATCGTCCTCGGGCAGTTATTATGGTTGTAACACGATCTTTAAGAACTGCTAGACAAATGCATTTATATCGTGGTTGTTGCCCAGTTTTTGTTAACAGTAATTAAATTTCTTCAAAGTTCTAAAAAAATATTTTTAAAATTCTTCCATGATTTTATTCTTTTTAGCTCAACGAAGTAAGTTATTTATCGAGAAAAAATGATCTTATTTTGCTTTTTTGAACAATAGAACATCCATCGCAATCAAAACTTGCGATTGAAGGTAAGAAAAATAGAAAATATATTTATGTGTTAATTGTTAAAACTTATCGTAATCCTATATGTTGTCTTGTGTTGTAGAAGAACCAGAAAAAGATGATTGTAAGGTGTTGAACTTCTGTTTTTTTCCTTTGTATGTGAACGATTTATTTTGTTTTAGGCTTGGATCTAGACTACGAAAAAGAAGGAGAGCCTCTATTTAAACAACATCATATATCAGCAAATCAAGCATTGGCTATGAGTGATTGGTTACTCGATGTTGATGCTCGTGTTATTGACGCGATTAAAGTCGGTAAATCACATGGATTTGTTTCACCTGGTGATGCTGTTATTGTTGTCACAGGATGGGTAAGAAATTAAAATGAATTTTCAATCCTTTTCATAGTTTTTTAATTTTATTAGCGTCCTGGTTATGGTACAACAAATACATTACGTATCATCTATGCAGATTAGAATGTTTATCTAGTCAACAACAGCAATAAATATTTTGTTTTTACATTCGAATTGAAACAAAGAAATAACAAAGTTTTTTCTCAAATTTATTTCCGCCTGCAGATCAGCTCGTTTTGCCCCGTCTCTTTATTTAGTCAAAATATTTATCAAAATAATCTCGTCGTTTTATCTCTTTCCTGCTTTTCATTATTTTCTTTTGAAGACAACTTATGTATCATTTATTGTTTACAGTCTCCTATCTAAAAACCAGTGTATATATTCATGACAATAGCTTAGTTCATTTATTTTCTTGTTGTTGCTGTGTCGTATAGGAATGATCTATATAGAATATTCTTTAAACAAATACATATGAAGCTATGTAGTGAAACATCAAGAGACAGTAATAAACAAAATATATAATCAAGAGAAAAAAATCAATTTTTCTCATATTCTTCTCAACAAACATTGGCCGATAAACATAATCTAACTAAAAGAGTATTATTTTCGGCTGGAAATTCCTCGATCTTATCAATATTCAAAGTCAAACCGACAAGTATTTTAGAATCTAATTTTCTTTTGACGTTTGAACAACAATGAACTGTTTCTAGTTTTCTTCATCTACAAACAAATTATTGGCTTCATGTCTTACATTGTAGTTTCCATTGAGATTATTAAACTGTAACAGTGACGTGATGACTGTTCTTTTTTTGTCATAAATTGTAGATCAGTGAAAGCAATATTGATAATAAAAAGTGCGTTATGATGCTCGTGAAAATAACTTTTGTCGTCTGTTTAAATTGATCGTCATTTGGTAGACGATTAAAAGAAGAAAAAAGCCGAACTTCACAGTATCTTGAATTCTTTTGTAAAGTTCCAAACGTTCATGGCTGATATCCATAATTCGATTGATTATTTTGGTGTCTTTTTTTTTGAAAAAATGTGAACTATTTCTCTCTTTACTTGAATGAATAATTTGTCATTTTCAGTTGATAAAAATTTTTAAAATGATGTACTCTTTCTCTATTGTCTCACTACACACAAGGAGACAATAAGTAGATCTTCTCTGAATTTTCTTTATATGATCTACAATAGTATTCCGATTAGTAACATAAGATACGGATATTAATGAAAAAGTCTGTTAGGATTTAATATCATAAAAGCATATGTACATTATTTTTCGATTTCGGTGACTTCAAACCATGAGAACAAATGTATTTTACTTGTGTTTCATAATTTAGATAATTCTTGAAATACGCTGTAGCTATAAAATTATGGAAAGTTTAGTTGAATGGAATCTCGTTTATTTGTCTGATGCTATGAACCATTGATATTTCTGGGATGTGGATGGTGGTTGTAGATATCTTTATAATTATTTGACTAATATCTACATCCGGCTCCTACTTTTTCTTCTCTCATATGAATTTCTCTCTTATCATATATGTACTATCACATAGGAAATTTTCCCTTTCATATTCTTCTTGCCATTTGGATCTCTCTCTTCACTATTGCTAAAATCTTGTGAAATACTATCTGAAAGAAGCATCGAAGTATGTAGGATAGAAATTTTCATCCCTCCCACAAGCTGTGGCAGACTGTATATTTAATTAACTAAATAGCCTCTACCTAATTAATTGTCTATCATTGACCATGTTAGAAAGAAACCATGCCCATCCAGCACAGGTCGTGATAGACGAACTAATGATGAATGAATATGCCCAAATATACATAAAAAAGACCAGTTTGAGAGAATTAGCAAAAACAGCTGATTGTGTTTCATATTTGAATCCCGAAAGGATTGCGCAAGCATGTTGCCGTATCATGCTGGATATTTTCACCATGTTCACTCATTGATATAGAGAACATAATTTTACAATAAAATATTACACGAGACTCGAGCTCATTTTCTTTGAGCTTCAGAGTTAACTGTTTAGTACGTCAATATGCTTCAACATATTCTATATGATTTTACCTGCTATGTGCGTTATCGCATCGTAACCAGGTTATCATCTCTATCAAATGTTGCAGGTATTACATACAATCCGATGTGCGCGCGCACACTCTCGATTAGTTCTTGTTGACGAAAAACAGCAATGAAAAAACTGCGTTGCCTTTTTCTTTTCATACACCAGCGATAAAAGACGCGTTCGATTTCAATTCTTTTATGCGGGACCAATGACTCAAAAATAAGGCAGCTTGCTTTTTAATGAAAATGTTTATGTAGTTGGTTAGCTGAAGTGTAGAGTCACGCCAACACCCTAATCATCTGTTGAGCAAAAACGAAGCAAAGTAAAAAATTTGTTCATAGACGCCGAGAAACCTTTCTCGTTCTACTATTCATTTTGGAATAAGGACACAACTATATTCATAAATAAATTTTAGATTTAATGACGTCATCTCCTGTTTATCAATGTAAACGAGCATTAATCATTGGTATCAACACATATCAGAACAATTCATTGAATTATTGTATCAATGATGCCAAAGATTTGATGACAACTCTCAATCGTATTGGATTCAAGGAGGTATTACTAGGAGTCGACTGTAAGCGCACTAAATTCCTTCAAATGGTCGAAACATTTGCTGGAAGAATTAAGCCTACTGACTTAACGTTGTTTTACTTTTCTGGTCATGGTAAGCAATATGAAAATGAGAATTATTTGCTACCATCGGATTACGATTATGATTACAGCACGAGGGAGTCTATCTATTTATTGGACAACGCTGTTAGCGTACAGTACATCATGAAGAAAATATATCATCGATACTGTCCCGTAACGATATTCATTTTCGATTGTTGCAGAACAAACGTCCGAACTAAAGGAGGTAGTGATCAACAAGGTTTATCACCAATGCATGCATCGCCAGAAACTCTTATTGCATATGCATGTGCACCAGGCGCAGTAGCAGTCGACGAAACACGAAATGGCAGAAACGGCTACTTTGCTGAACATTTGTTAAAGCACATTGCAACGCCCAACAATGATATTGAAGATATTTTGAAGATTGTTGCGCGTGAAGTTAAATTACAAACTTCTGGTTTTCAAGTGCCCTTCCGAACAAGTTCCCTAACAGAGAAAGTTTGCTTGGTAACATCAAATGTTCAAGGTTAGAATCTTTTTTTTAATTTTGCTTCCTATCAAAACATGATACTGAATTAGTGTCAATAGTATGTAGTATAAAAATACAACACCTAGTTTGTTTTTACAGTTATCAAGGTTTTAACGAAAATTTATACTGTATATAAAGCAAATATTTGGGAGTGGATGTGGGTGACGTAGGCGTATGGGTCTGGATAGAGGCAAGACTTACTCAAGCCTACACCCACACCCTTTTATTGTATAGTTTTCATTCATAAACGTGATTTAGGCCAATATGATTCACCGTTTCTCAATCGTTTCGAAAAACATACTATTGATATTCAAACATTAATACACGAACGTCATTGGTTATTATCTCGAGAACTTTATGGTTGGCTTGAGAATTGCTTGCCAAATAATCTTGGTAGTAATTTTCCTCTTTTACAACATCTTTTCGTTGATTATAGTCAAGATCAATTATGCAGTCTTGTTATTGAAGCTTGTGAACAATTAAACATTTCAACTGACGATGAAAACACACCGGAAAAAAATCTTCAAGTAATAAATTATTGTCAAGAAAAATTACTTCGTGCCGCTTCATTCGATTTACCATTGACTCTTTCAACGCAAACATCATCCGAATGTCAAAATTTGATTCAACAATATTATGAAATGCGCCAATTAATTACAT